GATCACGTAGATTCATTAACCATGAGTTTTACCTTTGGCCAACAGATCTTCTTCCTTGAACCTTTCTCTGTATTATGAGTCTCAAAATTTCATATTTTGGTCCCCTCATTACGTTGCCTAGGTATTTCAGTTTTCTGGTTTGTATAGTGGTTATTAATTATGTTTCTTTACCAACAATCTCCAGTACTTCTTTATTTGTAATTATATCAGTCCATGATATTTTTAATACTTTATTTCTTTGTACAGATAACAGCAATGAGTAAAGCCAGCTAATTTTCGTAATATTTAAATTAATTTCTAATTTATTTAAAATCAAAATGTTGCATTTTTTCTTCGTTATTATTCTCAATCATTTAACCAGCGACCTTTAAGTTTTACACAAAACACACAATTTCCACATAATTTCGTACGAAGTCCAAGTTGTCTGTCGAGAACAAACTACTAATATAAAACACAGCTAATTTAAAACCAATTTAGACGTACGGAACCCAGCACTAGGGAGCCGCGTCCAACAGCAATGTAGATAATCCAACCATTCGTGAATACGACACTAGGAATGATACTGGATGCCCCTTAGTATGTGCCAAATCTACTGATCCAAAGAGATATAACAACCCCATCAGTGAAAGAAGGGATAAGTAAGTACAGTGTAAACTATTGCGGTAGTCTCAGACATTGTTTTAAGTCGTCAATGAAACAAGAAGTGTCAGAAAATTCAAACCCACAGACCTAATTACTAGGTTTAACTAAAGTTAAGCAAAAAACCTCTCTGATTATACTTGTCCTACCGACCACATAAGTAGGGTCTTAAGAGGGTTTTCTGTCCATCTTAATACACTTTTAGATCGAAAAAACGTACGAAAAGCATATCCAGTTGATCGGTTACTTTATAATACTCTATAATTCTAATGCTTTTTCGTGTTTTGTCTTTGTACAGATAACATCAATAAATTAAGTCAGCTAATTTTCGTAATGTTTAAATTAATTGCTAATTAATTTAAATAACATTCCTTAACACGGCACTATGAATGATCCTGGATACGCCTTAATATGTACCAAATCTACTGATCTAAAGAGATACAACAACCCCATCAGTCAAAGAAGGGATAAGTGAGTACAGTATACAGTATTGCGCTAGTCTCAGACATTGTTTGAAGTCGTCAATGAAACAAGAAGTGTCAAAAAATTTAAACCTAATTCCAGACCTTCAGACCTAAATACCAGGTTTAACTAAAATTAAGCAAAAAGCCTCTCTGATTATAGTGTATGTAATGTAAATAGTAATTAATCAAATATTGTATCGCAATCGTATTTAATTCGTTTAATAGCTAATTTTATAAGACAATGTACTGAGAGAGGTAAACTGTATAAGTCAATAGCGTCAGAACAAGCGCTTATTTTCCGCGTGAATTGATAGCTGAATCAAGGAGTTGTTGTCGTGACATGGTATCATAGGTAAACCTCTTTGTTTTAAACGTTTTAAAGTTTTTGGCATTCCTTTTCTCAAGTAGCTGTAGCTTTCTTCGTAGATGTATTAGTTGCTGTTCTAAGATGTCAGCTTCTTCTGATAGTATTGGCACAAATACTATAAACTTCAGAGAAAAATTGTTTGAAATATAATTACGTACTGGTAATTATGTTAGCTAATGCTAGTTTGACAATCCTATTAACTGTGTCACTTATAGTTCGACACATAAAAAAATATATTTTTTAATATGGGCACAGCTTGGCAATCTGTAGTGGGCTTAACGTGAGCAAAACGATATTCCATTTTTCACGCATTTTCCCTTTTTCCTATATTCTACTAGAATAAATTGGCTATCTGTTCACTTTCATACCTGTTTTACAGAAAAATTATTAGTTTCTAGTGCTTAGATCGTATTTGTTTATTGAATTGCTTCACTTGTTTCAGCAAGGTTTTTGAATCGAGTTAATTCTGATTTAGGTCAAGGTTTATGTCTATAAAATTGTTCGCGTTATCATCATTAGTGCATAACTAAATGTTAAAGTGATCCATTCTTCTCAGTTTTCAAAAATATAAACATGTTTATCTGTCTATAATTTATGTGAACTAAGAACAGTCAACTAAACTCTCCATGGTATGCTGTATAATAATGATTCAAATCATAATACAGACAATCTAGATCAATAAATTAATAGGGGAGAGGCGGGAACAGTGACACACAGGGAACAGTGACACATTTAAAATCCTAGTAGAAAATATGTTAGCAAGTTAGTGATATTGTGGAATTTTACAGTTGGCATAATAAGAATACTACTTGTCTTATAAAAAGTTGACAGAATCTGTTGTGTTTGGAGAAAATCGCATGTTTGTGTTTTGTTAGTGCAGAAGTATTTTGTCAAGGGTGTTTTTAGTTGTTTACTACGAGAAAACAAACCTGAATTATTGGATTGTGTTCTGGGTCGTAAAAAAGTCGTATAAAATGTAAGTAATAGCAATAAAATTTCTTTAAAATCTTTGTAGATTAACAAAAAATTTACAAATTTTTGTATAAAACAGCATTGTGGGTACAGCGACACGAATATTGATAGGGAACAGTGACACGATGTGTCACTGTACCCTTCTTGTGAATTTCATAAAATCTTGACAGCAAATGAGTGCTGGAAAATCATATTAGGGTCTAAGAAGCTTTTGTTAATTATGAATTTACATTACTAATGGTACGTCAGAAGAAAACGGATAAGACAGTAGGTAGATTCAATGAAGATTCTATGAGGGAAGCAGTCAATCTAGTTATCAGTGGTATATCAATTCGTCAAGCTGCTAGAGAGAAAAACTTAAGCTTTAAAACCGTAAGCAGATACGTCAAGAAATACAGAGATGATCCCGAATGCCGAATGGCTCCTAACTATATAATAAACCAAATATTTTCTTTGGAACTAGAGGAAGCTCTCGTTCATTATATCATAACGTGTTCAAAAATGTTTTACAGTTTAACAATTACCGATTGTCGCAAACTTTCATATGACTTAGCGAAAGCAAATAAATTAAAAATTCCAAAAAATTGGGAGGAGGAAAAAAAAGCTTCAGTCGACTGGTATAAAGGATTTCGCCATAGACATCGTACAATATCCTTAAGAACTCCAGAGGGATGTAGTCTAGCAAGAGCAGCAGGATTCAATAAAGAAAATGTAAACTTATTTTTTAATAAGTTGGAAATAGTTTTGCAGCGACATCCAAATTTTTCAAATGGATTCAGAATTTACAATTTAGACGAAACCGGAACTTTGACAGTTCAAAACAATTCGACAAAGGTGCTAGCCAAAAAAGGCACTAGACAAGTGTCTAAAATTCAAAGCAGTGAAAGTGGTACACTTGTTACCACATGCTGCATTGTAAGTGCAAAAGAAGTGCAATCCCACCCGTAATGGTATTTCCGAGAGTCCATTTTAAAAGCCATATGTTGGCAGGAGCGCCATGTGGGACGTTAGGCTTGGCTACGAAAGCAGGATGGATGAACATAGAATGTTTTATTGAAGTTTTAAAACATTTCATTAAACATACTTGTAGTTCAAAAGCTAACCCTTCACTATTAATCATAGACAACCATGAGAGCCATATATCTCTTGAAGCTATCATTCTGTGCAAAGATAATGGGGTCACTGTTTTGACTGTGCCTCCTCATTGCACCCATCGGTTGCAACCATTAGATGTGGGTCTGCTAAAACCGTTTCATATATTTTACAACGATGCTTTAAGTTCGTGGGAAAAAGCTAATCCGGGCACACCTGTGACAATCTATTATGTAGCATCATTTGTGGGACTCGCTTACCCCAGATCTATGACACCTGTAAATATATCGGCAGCTTTTAAAAAAGCTGAAATATTTCCCTTTGACCGTCACGTATTTAATGATGATGATTATTTCGCAAGCCAAGTTACAGAACGACCATTAGTTAATTCACCAAATATTGATCCAAAACCATCTACCTCGACAGGAGGTACCACAGATAACTATATCAAGAACCAAGACGTAACTCCATTACAAAAATTGTCACCTTCATCCACAAGTGGAAGAAAATTGACAGTTGTAAGTCCATCAGCTATTCGTGAATATCCAAAAAAAAAGTCTGACAATTTCGGTTAAAACTAGAAGAAAAAAAGGCAAGACTATGATTGCTACTGACACTCCAGAGAAAAACGAAATTGAAAGTAATAGAGCCAAAAAAGCGAAAACAATTTAAAGAAGCATAATCTCAGAAGACATTAAAAACAATGATGATGTTATTGAGTCGGAAGACGAAAATGGTAAAACTTATAGTCTCCATAATTCTGATACGTCAGAGGAAAGTGAAATATTTTCAGATAGTGATGATGAAGACCTATGTGATTTGACATTAGATCCAGCCAAAATTTGCGACATTAAGATTAATGATTTCTTATTAGTGAGACTCAAATATGAAGCCCATTCCGATAAAGAAATCGAAAAATATTATATTGGGAAAGTTGTGGTGATAAACACCATTGGTACGATGGAAGTCAGTTTTTTACGTAAAAATTCAAAAAATGTCACATGCTTTGTGTTTCCATGTGTCACAGACATTGATGTTATATTCAACAACCAGAATATAAAAATTTTGGACCATCCAAAAATTAGCAGGGGTCGACACTTTTTTCCTAATGTTAAAACGGACTTGATTTCATAGAAAACAACAAGCATTTATAATATTTTTCTATAGATCAATAATAAAGATACATTTTTATTGTTTAATTAGTCCTAAATAATAATACTTACATATTACAGTTGAAAAATGTCTTTGTGTCAGTGTACCCTTCATACCAGGGAACACTGACACAATGCAAAGTTTCAGACTTTTTTTTAAATCTATTTGTTTTCTTAATTTATAGCAATGTAGTCATTCATGATGTATTTGCAACACAATAACACGTCCAAATTGATATTTGCAAGTAAAATCCTATTAATGGTCTAGCGATGACAGAAATTCAAATTTTTCTGTGTCACTGTACCACCTCTCCCCTATGCTAAACTAAAATTAAAAATTTAAAAATACAAGCATTAGATTTTCCTATTAGCAATAAATAATGTTAGATCTTTAACTCAAATCTTTAGAAATTTTCTGATGTTCCGATATTGTAGATTACTTTGAAAACATCTTTTATAATTATAGGTCTTAAGTATTTCTTCAAATTGTGCGTAGTTTGTGCAATTATTTAGTGTGCGTAGAAAATGTAAAATATTATAGTTTACAGCACGATATATTTTTGTTTCGGATGAGCTACACCAATTCGAATGGATAAGAAAGAGAGAGCGAGAGAGAGAAAGAGAGAAAGTTAAAACAATGGTCAAGCATGGGGCTAATTTTGATCAGTTTTGATAATACCTAATCATTTTTGCACTTTTTGCACTCGTTTACACACTTTTAGATTTAAGATTTAGCAACTAGGTGAATATGTATGCTAAAAAACCAAAGGGGAAAATATGAAACAGAGACTAAACGCATGACTGTAGCTCAGAAATATCAGCTTGTGTGATAAGTTAACAACATCAGAAGCACATGGTCTTTGTAAAATGAAGAGACAAGGAAATAACACTGTTGCAATATCGGAACCTCTTAAGCATCCAACATGCAAAAACAAACAACTTAGTGTATCCTGCAAATCTACAGTTTACAGAATGGGCGTGTGACAAATAATGACATGCGTGAAACAGAAAAGAGCCGAAACGTCAGTAAAAAAATACTCGGGATAACTAAAATTAAGACACTGAAAAACAGAGCACAGACTAAATGGCAGACAAGCTAACACAAATATTAGGGTAAAGTGTGCAAATCACGGTCACCTAAGAAGAAAATTTAATATAAAAAAAAAGTAAAAATCTGTGAATCAAATTTAAGCCGTGAATCCGTAATTTGGGGTTTTAACTTATTGCAAGATACATTTAATTTCAAAAATATAAAATTTTTGTCTTTGACAGAGACAAAACATAAAAAAGTATCTTTGACCGGTATTGTCACCATACATGGACAATACCGGTCATGAGTGTGGGTAATGCCAGTCAATTTGTTTGTGTTATTATTAAAATAAAAATCAATATCTATTTAACATTTTTTTGTTATAAAACGATTAACGAATGTGGCTTAATGGGTCATAATTCAAGTAAATCAGTAAGAAAGGTGAAAAAATATTTTTTATTACAAAACAAACAAAAAATAACAAAAATATGTGTTTTAATGTAAAAATAGTTGACTGTCATCGCAGGTATAACTCTCTGCAGAATCCCATCCACTGCACTCTGAATAAGCCCATCGTGAGCAAACGGTAAATATATACCACAATTCATTGTTTTTGCCAAACTCGCTGTAAACCAGGCATCTTCGTATGCATCGTCACTGTTATCACATGATATATCAATATCCGATTCCAAAGAACTAGAATCAAACACCTTTTTCTTGTAATGCCAATTACAAGAAAAAGGTGTTTTATTACAAGAAAAATTATCTTGTAAACCCAAATGCTAATTTTCTCAGTTCTATTGCTGTTACGCCATAAAAAATTAAGCTAAATATTTTTTTTGTGTGGCTATTTTAGCTTCTTGTTCGGCAGAAAATACTGATTTTCTACCTAATGAGACACCTTGAAGATTTTTATTTTTTATTCTTTCTTGCAATGTCGAAAAATGGATGGATTAATCCCTAAGGATTAATAGTATAGGGTATAAATTATAGCATGGGGGTAATACCGGTCAACTGACCGGCATTGCCTCCTGTTGGCATTTTTTTTCTTAGAATTTTTTACTCGTAAACATGTATTAAAATATTGATCTTTAAAAAAGGAATAGGCAGCTAACGTCATTATAATCAATTGTAACCAATTTTAAGATCTACAAGTGAATAAAAATGACTTAAGACCTTATATTACTCAGCATAAAAATAAGATCGAAAACACTGAAAACAGGTTAATAATATTTCTATGACAATGGTTTGCGCCAACTCAACGCTCGTCAGCAATCTGAATACAGAGTAGTGTAGCGACACGTTGGCAGTTATAGGAGGTTGCCAGATTGAATAGATTTCGCACAATCGGGATGACCGCCATTATCCACTGACCGGTATTTGCACAGTTTACCCTAACGAAAATCGCCAGTACTTGTAGGACTAATAGGCATAATACTTGAATACTGTAATCTCAGGAACATGCCGTTCATGAGGATCGTCAGTGATTCATCGGAGTGGCAGGAGATTACATAGTTTCTCAAGATGCAAGATTGAAGCTACGGCTACGCTTTCGCATCCTCTTTCCTAGTATCAAAGCAAAAAGAAAAATAAATTTTGAAGATCCAAATAGATTGCGCCCTGGCAAACATTGGACGGGAAAACTTAAAATCCTGGATATTGTTTAATGATATCATGAAAGTATTATTATTTTTTATGAGTGCTTATTTTCATTTTATTAAGTGAAAATCTTATATCCTCTCAGACGAGTGCAGAAGTGCTGTTGAAGTGCTATATTACTGAATTTTTATTGAAAAAATACTTCACCGGATCACTTGTGGAGTGAATTTTTGTTAACAGGCTCACATTGGTCAACGTGATGTTACTGATATTGCTCGGTCGTCTCGCCATATTCTGCTTTACTGATTCTTCGCCCTTTTGTGTTTTTTCATCAGATTTATCCTTGTCGCTTTCGATGGTGGATGATCTTTTCAAAGTGGAATTTGTTAAACTCGTGTTAATGGTGCTATCTTCTGATTCATCAATTGGTAGGGTACATGCCTCAACTTGAGTTAAAGTTGTGGTGCTGCCTATACTAAGGGACTCTTGTTTCCTAAAAATAAAATAGTATTTTTCAATGTGATTATTATTCAATAATTGTGGCTTAATCCCATAAAAAATATAATATTTAAAATTAAACAAATTTGTATAAAAAATTATTCTTTTAAAAACCCTTTATTATATTGCTTTGTGATCTTTTTTGTAAAATGGTCAGAAAAAAAAAAATGTCAAAAAAAAGTTTGTTCAAAAATTTTAGAAATATTTGTTTATAACTTTGTTAGTTTTAATTTTTTGATAAAGAGTAATGGAGATAAAGTTGTATAAAATTAACCTTGCTACAAATAATGTTATATAAAACTTTCTGTAGAGTTTCTAATTTACGAGATACGGTGAGAAAACCCTTTGCCCCCTTTTATTCAAAATGGCGGCCGGAAACCAAGGGTAGCGACTCCACAAGCTTGAACTGAAGCTTATAATAACCATTACCATATATCAAAAAAATAAAATTGCGTCCTATCAAAAATGTAATTTCAATGTACATAACTTTGCAATGGACTAACAGGAATATAAAATGTATATAGCATTTTTCATATAAAAATGCATGCACGTCACAATTTATATATCGTGACGTCACTTATATTTAAAATTGCCAGAACGACAACCTTGGAGCTCAAATTTTCCTAACACAGCTAATCATACGAAACCCATACGGAACTGCTCGATCTTTCAGAGGCGTCAACATGGTGTAATAATCAGAAAAATGTAATCATTATATTGAAAATTTTAGAATTATATTGATTAAATAACCAAAAACATTTGTTATTATTAATAATATTCCATAAAATAATAATTTTATTTAAATAGATTAGACAATTGTACGCAACTAATACGAGAATACTTCAAATTTTATTGACAGTTCAGCGTGTGGCAAAAGTGTATAGAGTGTTATCGCTCTTTTAGAGAAAGAATTTTGTTTATGTTTTTATTTCTTACAAAATTCCATCATAATATAATATATATTAATAAATTATATTTATAAATACATACTTAATTTGGATTAATAGCTTTAGCAACTAATTTTTGTTGTGGCTTGTGATTGTGCTATACCAAAACAAATAAATATTCCACGTTTTTACTATTAAAGCCCTAATAGAGGTAAGTTTAAAATTTATTTAATTTATATAATTTTGTATTTAAATGTTTTCTTATGTATTTTAGTGTATTGCAATAGTCTAAAAAGAAGTATATTTACTGTTATTATAATAGTTGACATTTTGAAAATTCCTCACGTACTAACTATTCTGATGTTTTGGCAACTCTGTGGGGCTCTGATGTCGTAAATCTTGAACAACGTGCAAGCATTTTTATATGGAAAATGCTATGTTTTGATTTTTGTTAAGAGAGTACATAATAAAACCATTAATTTTAATATTAAAAACTTACGCTAGGGTAACTTTCTCTTCAAGTTTAAGTGTTTCACAATCGGCAGATTCTCTTAATCTAATATGTTTTCCTCTTAGTTTTAAATGTGGTCCTAATCGGCTTAGAGAGATTACTTCGGAAAACAGGGTAGCATTAGACGATACCCTAGCGCCTAAAGGAACCGCAACATCTAAAAATATATAACTGTTGTAACAAATATCGTGACGTCATATGAAAAATATACAGATGCATGTATCATAAAAAAATAAATTAACCAATAGTTATAAAGATAAACCTTTTACTACCTCTATTCGTCTGACGTATCTCGTCGTTTTTTGTCCTGGCCTCTCAATGTTAAGCCAACATTGAGCATTTCAAGCGTTTTATTTTTCTTTGTTATTTTTCAAGTTATTTTTAACTGTAACAATAAAATAATGAAAACTTTGTTTTCAAACTTCCACAAAATTTATTTTAATCTCTTAGCACTACAGCTGTTTCGGCTGGTTGCCTTTCTCAAGTGATCTATTTTTGGCATGCGTTTACATTTTATAGTCTCTAATGAAATAAGTTGAGGAGGGGAGAACTGTTTGTCTCAAGTTGGTCATTCAGAATTATATCTGTGTTTTTTAATTTGTTGATTTCCATAGATTCTAGCAAGGATAGCTTAAGGCCTTTATTTTGAATGTGAAGAATTTTAAATTCGTCTTTAAACGAATAATTGTGATCTAGAAGGTAAGGTTAAGAGTTTTGACTCCGTATGTAAGGACTGGTAAGGTACACTGGTTCTACGCCTATGTTTTGATGCTGATGGGACTTTGGATGTAAAGATCTTAAGATATCTTAATTTGCCATAGGCAGCCCAGCTAAGGGATATTCCTCTTTGTAGCTTAGATGTCTGATTATCTCTTGTGATTTTCTTCTGGATACTTCAGTTTCCAAATATGTAAATTTGTGAATAGGTGAATTTTGGTTTTGCGTTTATTCGTTTTTAATATCACTTTTATTGTTGCTGCAATAAGCGTCTTCTAGCATCTCTTGAGTTGTTTTACGTCATCCGCTATCAACACTATGCCTTTCGCACAGATAAGCTTAATAAAGTATTCTCCTTCAATAATTATATCTTCTTCCTCCCAGTTCAGTAACTTGAATGCATATTCTAATACTATCAAGAACCATTTTGGGATCTATTTTGGGGGTATTTTATTGGTGGGGTCGTAGAGATTTATAGCAGCTAATAGATGAGCATATTTCTGATGACGTTCAGAGTAGGACTAATCTACTCTGCATTGTTCGGATGACTTTAAAATAGTGCCAATATTCACCAGTTTTGTGAAAGTCTATAAAAGTCATCACTAAGGGTCTGTTTTTTTAAATGTGGTTTTAAGAAATTTTACATTTGTACTATACCTTGAGCCAGCCTGTTCCAGCCTGTTCTGTTCTTGAGGTTAATAGAAATTAAGTTTATTTTCCATTTTGTTAGTGTTCATTCGTGTATATAATGTTCAAAATTTATTTAACTGGCTAATGAGTCGGTAGTTCTTAAGGTCATTTGGGTATCCCTTTTTGTAGAGGATGATTATTATGACGTTATTCCATTTTCAGTGACATAATAAATGAAAATGAAAAAATAATTTTCCTTCTACTGATGTCATGTAAAATAGACGAACCAGTATTCATGCTAAAATTAAACAGTAGAAAGAAAAACTATTTGGAGTTGGATTTATTAGAAGATTTGGAGATCACAAAAGAAAAAATGTAAACTCTCATTGTCTTAATACTCAAATTAATTTAAATTGTACTAAGTTTAAACCTATTTTTAAAAACTTTATTGTAGCTTCACCTCGTAGTGGACCCAGCTCGGCGGTTTAGACTTCCTGCACTGAGTATACCCATTAAGAATTGATTAATTTTATACTTTGATCAACATTACCATTGTATTCTTCAACAATTTACGAAAATAGCTTGCTTAGATTCAATTGATCTAATAGTTGGCGTTAATTACACTATCTATACCACTACGTAATTTAGATATACCATCTCACCAGTTGTATATTTCAACCTCTCCCACTGTTGGTCAGTTGGTCTTTAGTAACGTTTTTACATATTAGTTTTATAGTTCTCCCATTGACTGGGGTCTTAATTGAACTACTTGAATTATACCCCATTTAAACACTGCTTTCAATTTTGTTTTTAATTTTTAGTATTTTAATTTCATAGTCAGATTTCTTCTTTTACAGTATTGATAGTGCCTGGTAGACCATTTTATTGTAGTCAACCACCCATTGTGTAATCGATTGTTTAGTCTATTTCTTTCAATCATACTTTATGTCCACTTAATTTGCTCTCAAACTAACACCTTATTATTATAGACAGCTGTGAGTATGAGATCTGGATTATGCAATCTAGTTAAATTAAAATATTCTATATGTCATATTTCATCAGCTGATTTCCTATAGTAGTGTCAGTTGGACCTTTGGTCAATGCCAGCTTACTTACGTAGAATTTTAGTATGTGCAGATCACATTTCCATGATTGTGACTGTGTGCCCATCAAAGCTGTCATATGTCACATGTCACCTTAACATTTCCGTTAATACCATTCTCTCTGCTGTTGCCGACAAGAATGTAGCGTTGAATAATTTTTAAATAATTTTCTTGTTAGTGTTATGTACAATTTATGTTTAATTTCATGTTTATTACATTCTGCGCTTGTTGGATAGCCCAAGTTTGACGAAGTAAGTCTAAAACGTTAATCGCAAAAACTTTTATCATCCATTAACTTCGAGTTTTTTATCGAAATTAATCAATTTTCTACATTTAAAAACAAACGTTTCTTGGCTTATTTCAGATGCCCCTGATGATGCTTTAGAAAGCGAAAGTACTTGGGCAAGATTTGATTAATAAAATTGTGCTCGATATCTGCCTTTAACTTTTCAAAGTTCATTTATTTGAGCATTCAACCTTATATCAATCAATATAATAGTTTTAAGGTTTCCACCGTATCACTGCGAGCTCAATCCAATCGAGCTTGAATGGGCGCAAGTTAAGAATTTTGTTGCTGCCAATAACACAACATTTAAATTTGCAGACATTAAACATTTATTGTATTAAGCTGTGTCTGCTATTACTATGGGAAAATGAAAAACTGCGTCAAATATGTAAAAGAAGTGGAGCCAAAAATGTGGAAGTTGGACAATAAGCATACATTGATCCTTTCAGTATTAACATTAATAATGACAGCAGTACATCAAAATCTGAAAGTTAGAATGAAATACGGTTATTTTGTAAACTTGCTTTTTTAAATCTATATTTTTAAATCTATATACTTTATTTGCTTGTTAATATCTTTTGATTTTTTAACATTTTTTTATTAAAGAAAATGGTGTACCTTGTGGTCTGTATCTATCAAACATCTACAAGCAACAAGAACTTTTAAACTGTAGAGAATCTCTCCTGTTACCGCCAAAGAATGTAGAGCGTAGAAATATTTTAACTAATTTTAAAGTGTTTGTCCTTGTTTTAGTGTAGTGTTTGTACAATTTTATGTTAACATTCATGTTCATCACATTCTACGCTTGCTGGAAAGCCCATATTTGACTAAACGTCCCTGAAGATGCTATATTAAGCGAAAGTACTTGGGCAAGATTTAATTAAACTTGTGCTCGATATAATTGCCTTAATTTTCAAAGTTCATTTATTCGAGCATTCAACCTCATATCAATTACTTCTTATTATGTCAATTTCAGCAGTATTTTCGTTATATCGATATATTGTAAATAGTATCGCCGTCTCTAATCCGTGTATCTCGGACTGCCTTTTCCAAGTCAATGTTAAATACGATACAAGCAGAGTACCCACCTGTCTGAGTTTAACCTTTATCTTAATAGTTCTAGAATGCTCTCACTGTATCCTAACACTGGCTTTTAAGTTAGACATTGTTATTCTCGTTAATCGAAAGCTCCAAACATTAACAAATGTCTTCAATACAACAGCTAAAATACAATATGATAATATCAGCAGAAAAAACAAATGTATGACACCATCTAAAAACCCACTACGGTGTAAAATCAAAATTGATGGGAAAATAATAAAGCAGGAAACAAAGTTCAGATATCTGAGAATAGATGTTACGGAGATGTTGAAGAAGAATTACGAAAACAAAGCTTAAAAGCAAGTAAAGCGGCGGGATCTCTTAATGATGCAATCTGGAATAACAAACATCTAAGACAAGATACAAAAACAAGAATCTATAAAGCAGTAATTAGACCTATATTAACATACACAGCGGAGACAAGACCTGACACATCTAAAACGAGACAACTACTAGAAGCAACAGAGATAAAAATACTCCGAAGAAATCAGGAAAATGTCTATTGGATAGAGAGAGACGCGAAAACATAAGAAGAGCATGCAATAGAGAAGACATAAATGGATTGGTAACAAAACGAAAACAGGACTGGAACGAACACATCAGTAGAATGGCAAAGGATAGAATAAGTATTGGCAGACCAAAAAAACATTTTGCGACAACTTAAACAATTTACGAGGCTAATATTGAAGAAGAAACAGGCTTTAAAGCCTACATAAAAGAAGGAAGAGAAAGAAAGTTAATTAAAAATTGTTTTGAAATACCAAACTGAATTGATTGGTATAATACTCTCTTGACACTGTCATATTGGCCCTGAAGTCGACGAATAGGTGATGGGTTTCAATGATAAGTTCTAAAATTTTCTTAATGTGAATTCGACCTGGTAGGTTTCAATAATGCCCACAGGGTATACTATATTACGCTATAAACCTTTTGTATCATATTAATTTATAACAGGGTTATGCCTCTATAGTTGTCATAAAGAAACTGATCGACTTTTTTGTAACGAGTATATCATGCTTTGAGACTATTGACAGGGCATGGTCTCATTTTTTTAGACAAGAAATATAAGTTTATAGAGTGTCTATAGCAGAGCTTACCACCATTTTTGTAGAGCCCACTGCAAATTGGATCTATATCATTAAGGATATTTGCTGCTCCATTTTTTATTCTCCCAATTTTTGGCTTAAACTCTTTGCTTATTTTATTCAAATTTCTGTAGAATTTCGAGTTTCGTTTTGATTTTAATGCTTTTTTTTCTTCTATGTTATGTTTTACCTTTTTTTGTTGGAGTCCCGTATTTCTCCTTTGCGCTTGTTGTGCATTCAGCATAATTTGTCTTAATGTATACTCTATTTTTTTTCTTGCTTCTTGGCACTCCTTGTCATACAATTCGTTTTTTAGCTGGATTGGTTTTCTCAGTTCTTATTTTTCTACATTTCTCCAAATTTGCTCCCTCCTTTATGCTTTCCATTTAATCATCCATTTGTCTCCTATACTCTCTCAAAACTGTGTCAATGTGCAGATTATCTATATTAATCTTGTCTAGTTTCATATTTTTTTATCCTTTTTTAAGTTTCATATTCTCTCTCTGATTTTTGCCATTACAAGAAAGTAGTGATTATCTATGTTTGAACTTCGGTAGTTTTTGACGTCCATGAGGTCGGAAGAATGCCTTACATCTATAAGTATATAATTTATCTGGTTAACGGTTTCATTGACAGGGGATTTCATTGCTCCTTTGGGTATCATTTTATGGCGAAATTTTGTTTCTACTACTATCATGTTTCTGGTGCTTGCAAAGTTTATCTTCGTCTCAACCTATTTTCGTTTGATCCTTCATGTAAGCGCTCACGTCTTTTAGTTGGCTGAAACAGTTGCTCTTGGCCAATTTTTGTATTAAGCAATTACTCTTATTTGTATTGTCTCCGCTATTTAGGTTTCGATATTGTAGATTGTCTTGTTTGACTCTCCATGTATAGTCTTCAGTCGTTATAAATCGTACCCAGTACTAGCAAACCATTGAAGGGCTAACAAGAAGATATACGCTATCAAAACAAAAATATCTATTATTTTTAGCTAAGATTACTACAGATGCGTTTTGAACTTTAAAAAGGTGTATTTTAGGTGTTAGGTAATTTTATGGTCGTGGAGCTCAAAAACATATTTTTAATCATTTTTTATTTTGTTTTAGGTAATCACTAAACTTCATTGACGTAACTAAATAGAATTTAACACTAGAGTAATAATTAAGAGTTGTTATGTTCCTTTGGCTAACTTACCATAACTAACTTTCCAAAACTAACTTACCACAACTTACTTTTATTTTTATAAAAAATCTATAGCCTTTAAAGAAAATAATGCTTTGGAGCTTTGTATATGAATATATAAAATAAATTCATTGTATGAGCTTTAAACTTAATCTATTTTATCGTATTACCTGATAGATTAGAAATGGAATCTTGGTCATCACCATCAGCTACTTGGTATTTCCTGTACCGAAAAATATATTGCACGCCCAACATTACAGTCGCTAACAGCAATCCACTCAGAAAAAATATTGCCGTGATATGTACTGCTGTCAATTTAAGAATCACAACTGGAATTACGCCAATATTTTGGGCAACAGGTACAACTGATACGTTAAACCTTGAAGAACCTAAAAAGAAGAAAGATATTTAAAGGAATTTAAGGAACATTTGCGTTGGGTTTAGTTTAGAGTACTTGGGATTATACCGTAAAAAAACTTTGGATTTTTCATTGAGGAAATCTAAAAATATTTGTTGTGTAAAAATCTGAATATTGTTTTGTGTTAGTTGTTATAGTTAAAAAGCAGCTCTTTGTTTTTGTCTGCAGACTTAGTTAACCTTTCTGAGGTTTCATTGATAAGAAACCCAATCCTCTTTGAGTTTGATGCGTTTTGAATCCATAACACTCTTAGCCTCTGGACAGCATATGCTATGTACCTGTGCATAAAGCGATATATGCCAGTTTGTCCTGGAACGTGTTTATGAAGAGTAGCTACACTTTGCATTCATTCTTAAAATCTCATTTTATGGATTCTGCATCTTTAAGGAACACCTTTTCCCATTGGTGTTCGAACGCGTTGAATAGTAGAAGCAACTAATATATAGTGCTTCTGGTACTACCTAAATTATATAAACAAAATATCTGATGCTCAGTTTAGGATTTATTATAAACTTAATTATTCTTAAGGTCTTATATAGCTATGTGAACGAACATAGTGAATAAGCTGTCTGAAGCTTTTAGTATCTTTTTCTATTCTCCTATACTTCTCAACAACATTTCAATCTATTAAGTCTATCATATTTTGTTATTGAAACGATACGTTTAATTAATAATAGTATTAATATTAATTACATATAAATTTTTTTTCCGCAAAATTAGGTACCAAAAATATTGACTGCTATAATTTTAAGATAATTAATAATCAAAATAATTTAAAGCTTTATGTTAGTTTAGATTTAAATACCTAGCGCCACCTGGGAAAGCAATAAAGAAATAAAAATAAATTGTGTTTATTGTAGTTTGGTATTATGTTGTAGGTTATCGCAAAACCAAAAATATAACCTAAATATTGTTGTTTATTGTAGGTAAGAGACATGGATCCGGTATTAGAAGATTTAATAAAATTAAAGAGTATGATCAGTGTGATGTTTAATGTTTATAAACTTACTCCAAGAATATAATATTTGAGGTAAAATCGAGAATTTTACTTCTTGTAATGATAAAGACTTTTTGTAATAGGTTTAAAGTAAGTTAACCGACAGTAATCTGTATTCTGAGAATATATTGTAAATAGTTGTTAATAAAAGATTACAAAATTAGTTATTCTACTTTCTTTTCTTTACTTAGTTTGGGCATTTAATTTTTTCATAATCTTGATAATTAAAAAATGGATTAATTAAAGTTTTTCAAGAGATATTGGTGTAATTGATTAAATTATAGCAGAATAATAGCAGGATTCCAAAATGAAAAATATGCAGATTATACCTAGGTTGTCAGATTCTTTTAATGATAATTAGAATACAATAAAATAAAAAGAATAAAAAAGAGTAAGTATACAAAATATCCAGATGTAGCACGAAATTCTCAAAACTTCCAATAAAATTTTCTATAGAATGTAAGGAATATTAATTTTGACAATTTGGTGATACTTCTTGGATATATTTTTGTAGATACCTATCAGGTAGGTATAAATAATTCTGCATTCTTTATGAATTGATCAATGAAGATATTATTGAACTTTCTGAAGTTAAATATGTTTGAGCTAACCTTATATAATATTTTATTGTTATAGAAAAACTTCAGAAGAATTATTAGTATAATATGTATTATTTTTTTATTCGTTATTAAATTTTTTTTAATAAGTTAATTTAGTCCTGCCACCACAAATAGTATAATTAAAAGAGATATTAAAACTGTAATGTGATTTCTTTGACAATTAGTTAAATATTGGTGTGTTTCGAAATAAATTTTACATTTTTATCTTACACGTAAGGAACCTAAGCAACATAATTTGACGTGAAAAGACGGGTACATTATACTCTATGAATAAATGTCATTTTCCAAATAATCTGTCAGATGGGACAATATTTATCTGGAGGTGAAAAGACGTGCCCTTTCATGTCAAGAGTTTATTATTTTAAGAATTTAATTTTGAATGCTTTTGACAGTTTGTTGATCCTAAAGTATTCGCTGAGAATTTGATGATTGGTAAAAAATATAATACAAAACTCGAGCTGTCCCAACAAATGAATTGTCAAACTAGAATAACGCTGGCTTTCGTACGTATATTAATTTGATAATATGACTTTACACAAAAGTTCAGCGATTCCCCAAAAGTAAATTATTTCTTATAAAAGTTATACAACAGACTAAAATATCATTTTTTGTTATCCTAGCCGTATATAGGAGGAAGTGTGAAAAAATTAAATGGAGTGACTTTAGATGGTAATCGATTGGATTCCTCTCTGCATGGTGACCGACAAACTCACTAGTTAACAATAAGTATCTACTTTTAATAAGTGATAGTTTGTATGATTTTAAAAGTGATTCCATATTTTGTTTTTAACTAAAATGTGGGATAATATTACACTAACAAACTGTGGTAACTTATGGGAAGCTTGTAATAAAGGGGCGTGATATGCTTTTTACACTTTTTAACTTTAGCCAGTAATTTTATACAAATTAATTGATAAAATAAAAGGTATTTTAAATATTGGACGTAGAAAGGAAATGTTCGACTATGCTGTAATAAAGTTTTAATTGTTTCAATTAAATTATTGTGAAAACTTGATATTTAAAAGTTTTTTAGTCAACAGTTGAAGTATCAGCTAGTTATAGTAATATTTCGGACGTACGGTATATTATGTATATATTGGTTGATTTAAATTATACCTTACCAATTTGATTTGCCTGTGCTATAAATCCACCGCCGCAAATTTCCTCCAGGCTAATGCTATCAGCCGAGAAAAATTCAAGCAGTAAATTATCCCCAGTTGAGTTCACCACCAGAGATTCGGTGTCGAAAGCACTAGATAAATGAGCCAGTAAATTCGATGACAATGCGTTGCCATCCCGAATTTTTAAAGATTGTGTGCGGCAGGAGAGATGAAACTGGATCACTCGAAATTGAATTATGGAGTCTGGATCGGCCTGAAATTAAAATGATTTATGGATGTGATTGCTAGGTTGAAATTAAAGCATTTGGTAAAGTAAAAGTACATTCTTTAGCTTAAATACAAAAAAAAATCATTTATAAATACTGGTATTGTTGTTGTAAACGTTACTTTTTATTTTATTACAATAAATATTTTCTTTTTACATCTATTTCCGAAATATCCATCTGGCCATTGACATGGATACAAAAACGTCTGGAGTATTACATTATACATATAAGATGATTACATTAACAGTATTAATACAGTAAATTACATTAGATTTGGAAAAATATAGTGTTACAAACCTTCTTTTTTTTTCTTGAACGAACAATGTTACAATATTTGTCATACACGACAATATAATCTGCAATCGTTTAAAAAGTCAATTAGAGCACTGTACACATTTGGGAACAAAGTATCTGTTTGAATTTACCGTGTATATTATACGCTAGTCTATTTAGTCTTTGATACTTGCACTCAACGAGTAAATGTTCTACTGTAAGGCGGAGAGAATCACAATGTTCACAAGCAGGTCGGTTGTCAGAAGTCATCAGGTATCCGTGAGTGATGCGTGTGTGTCCTATTCGGAATCTTCGAATGATGAGTTTGTCCCTCCTTGCCGTTGTAGGTGTCTTAAATGAGTATAGAGTGGGATTGGTTATGTGCAGTTTTGTGTTTTGTCCATTCCAATGATTTTGCCATGTTTTACGAGTGTTTTGTTTTATGGATGCTGCTAGATGTTGATGAAGTTGAATTTTTTTTCTAGGCTTAGGTCAGAACAACTTGCTTTTCTTTCTGCGATATCTGCAGACTCAATTCCACTGATCCTTACATGAGATGGGGTCCAAAGAATGGTTACTGGTGTTTATCTGCTGTGGTTTTGATGACAGAAGTGTTTAATTTTTTGGACTATCGAATTTAACGAGTATATGTTGGCAATGGACTGAATTGAAGAAAGAGAATCAGTACATATAGCTAGATATTTCGTATTAGGAGAAGTCATTTCAAGAGCTTTAAGGATAGCATATAATTCTACAGTGTGAATACTACAAGTAGTTGGTAGTCAGTGTAGAGCTAAGGTTATGCTTTTGGTACAGACAGCACAGCCAGTATTATTTTCCTCTTTAGATGCGTCGTTATAAAGAACTTAATTGTACTGTTTTGCATTTATTGGTTCTTGAAATAATTGTTTAAGGAGGTGGTTAGGAGTGTCTTCTTTATTATGTCGAGTTAGACTAGCATTGAAACAGGTAGCTTATTGGTCCATGGAGGATTATTGGAAGTACTGATGGAGGTAGTTAAATTCAGGTATATAGCTGCTATAGCAAAGAATTTACTAATTGTGGAAGGGGGTAAATAAATCTGTTTCTATGTTCAGGAGCGTGGTGGATGTTAATGAGGTTAATTACTATGTTTTTTGGGTTGGATGAAACTCTAGTGAAATAGAAAGAGAGTAAAAGCTGACGTTGTATAAAAAGAGGTGTTCCAAAGCTTTAATGCACATGCTTTCGGCAATACTAGATCGAAATGCACCTAGTCATACACGTAAGGAGGTCGTTTGTATTGAATTTAGGGATTTAAGATAAGTTTGTAAATCATGCATCCATAATCTAATCTAGAACTAATAACAGCTCTATAGATTCTGAGTAACCTCATGAGACTACCGTTTTATTTGTCTTCAGCCAGAATTATGAGCTCAGCATTAATACTTCGTTTAAGATATATAGAATTAAATATTTACCGTACTTAATAATTGACTGAACTTAAAAACTGTAACGATTAATGTAAGAACTTCCACTGAGAATTAACCTCGAGCAAAAGGCTACGTGGATAACACAAAATCCTATTTACAAGACAGAAAGAAGTCCAATAATATGTGCGTCAGAAAGAACTTTACTTAAAGTATCTTTTAAAGAAAATTTTTCGTTCATTTTATATGGTTCCTCCTAAGGTTCTAAGGTTTTCTCTTCTGACTCTGTCAAAGTAGGCTAAACACTTTTTATGGCTTTTCGTCATCACATTTCCGATTCGTACATAAAAATAGGTTTGATAAGGGTTTTGTTTCTCAGTAATTTTGTTCTTTCTGTGACCTCTTACGAAATATGAGCTCCCTGGCATGCTCGAACGTATGTTTCCATCATCACTAGATCTTCAAGTTGCACCATTTGTGTGGCATTTGTAATTTATATATGCTTTGGTTGGCTTACCTGCATCTTGATTTTTTGTTCTCTATGATTTTTTGAGCAAGTGGTAAATATTGCAAATAACATACCTAGCCGACTCCATTTAAGAATGGCTAAGCGTGTGTTAATTTCAGAGAGGAAGAGTTTATCTCTATGCATTTCCCCGAAGAAGTCATGTTTAAAAGCACCTTCTGGTTAACTGCCTACCAACTAAAATCTACCCCTTATTCCCCTGTATAACCGGAACTTCTCCTAGGTGGATGTAACATCGAGTGTATCGGGCAACAAATCAAATGACTGGCTGTAACGGTGTCACCTTTATAGACTTACAGCAGGTCTGTAATTGGGCGTTTACTGTAAAAATTAGAAATTATCAAGTCCAAATATTCCGTGCAGTCTCATCAATCCAATATAGGTCTATTCACCTTGAACGATCTTTAGATCTCATCTTCTTTGTCTTCGTGATCCTGGTTATCAGGTCGACCATAAAATCAAAGTTAATTTTGTTTTGCAAAGATTTTTCGATAATGCTGTCAACGAAGATTCAGTCTTTTTCTTTCAAAGAGCCTGAGGAAAAGATGTAGTGCTGTGAGTCGTATCTTAAATATCCATCTGAACATTAATCGTCTACGTTCTTTTAGATAACATATGTATACGATCTAAGGGAACTATAGCCGGTGAGGAATTGCCATAAAATAGTAATTTAATCTTTTATACCTACATGCGAACCAGGCCACCACATCTGGTCTGAGCCGTTTGGCCCATTGATTTGTGCCTCCCATTCATGTGATCATTCTTAGCACGGCTCTTTTTTTACATCAGAGTTTGTCTGGGGTAAATGGTCGTGATCGTTTGCAGATAATAACATTTTTTCACTGGCTAGGAGATGATTGGGGTTCTTACCGGATATGACCTGAAGGGCAATCGTCGAGGTAGTCTGGTACGTACTTGTTAGTCTCAAAAGGAATTTTCTTTTTTTACTACTCGAAGGTTTATTTTTCTTTTATGACTGCTAGACCCGCCAATTTTTGTCATGAGCTTTAATAATGCATTTATCCTTTCTTCTGTTACTGGACTACTTTATTCATGCGTTTGGTGTATCTTAGACATATATCCAGGTGTATACTCAAGCATTTAGTACAATTTGTCGGCTCTCTTCTTGTACTATCTATCATGAAAGTTAGATGGGGACATTTTCTTGGGCCTTTAAAAATCACAATTTCTGTTTTTTGTGTAGCCAATTCAATATTTTGTTTTATCTCAGTCAATTTCCGTCTGAATCGGTAGGTCTAGATCATCTTCGTACGCAATCGCTTTGACTTTACTTCTATAGGCAATTTTCAGAATTCCGGTAGACTCGTACAAAACATTCCCCAGTGTTGGTCCCAGTACGGATCCTTGACGTACTCCTGCTGTGGTTTGCGGTTCTTTACTGAATATTCTAATACTATTGACACCTTCAAAGCTTTGTTGATGTGACCCCAGTTGGCTGAAAAAAATTCATTCTATACATCGAACATCACGAAGACAGTCCACGTTTTCCTTGTCTCTTTGATCTTCTGAGATATTTTCGTTACGCTTGTATTATGGATCTGGACCTTTGTAATCCATACTGTCTTTTAGAAATACTTCTGTTTCTTTAAATTTTCTCTTTAGGCAATTCTTTATCACATATTCATAGAAATTCCCCAGTCAATACTACAACAATAAGATTGACATGTATGAGTTAGCTACATCCGGGTCTTTCCCCGGTTTCAAATTTAACGTTAATCTGGTCTGTTTAATCCAATCGGAAAACTCTTGCTTTCTTAGAAAGCTCTCCTTAAGTTCATGTTTTTTTTTTTTCAAGTAATGTCGATATCATCGACTAGTATTTGTTGTGATACTATATACGCCCGAAAGGATCTTGACATTCCATTATGCCCCCCAATCTTACATTTAAGTGTCTCGAAATTTACTTTCACTAATTTATTAAGTACACTAGGTACAAAAACATACAAACAGGGTAAAATTTAATATTAAAAACCACTTTTAAAAGAAGATATATTGTAATAAAAAACCAGGGGAATAGGGGGTATCGGTATATATTGGAAAAGAATAAAAAAATCCCGAACTAGCGGATAACGGCGTAACCCAGTAGATGATTAAAGCACAAGCCAAAGAAGCGATGATTCAAGGCGAGATCATCAACAGAACATAAACGTAAAAGTATACTAAAAAGTGAAAAGTTACCTGAATCAGCCAAAAGTTTCTTCCGGGACAACTTTGTGAAGAGGTTGCTAGCAGTCGTGAAGGTTTTGCTTGGCCAAGATGAACAACGCATCCACACCTACAATATGTACCGACTTCAGCCTGAACTTCAGGCATCTCAGCTACAACATCTTGAATGTAAGTAGAACCGTCTCCATAAAGACAGTCCCATCTACTTTTAAGACTAGTGCCGCATTTTTCTGTTTCAACAGCTGATCCCTGTTAAAAAAAATAAAATAAAACTTGATTTAATTGCATTTTTATAGAAAGTTACAAAAAATAAAAAAGTTGCAAAATATTTAACTTCCTGTCTAGAAGGTAACACATACAAAATTTTTTATTATAAAATACTAATAATATTTACATAATATCCATATTACAATAATGCCTATGATTTAAGCATAAGTAAATAATAGATGGAAAGAATACTTCAATGAATTGCTAAATGACGAAAACAGGATGGAACAGCAACAGCCTATAAGAACGTAGAAACATAGGAACCAAATAAATGAGACAGAAGAAACACCCCCTACCAGAAACGAGATAAAGGAAATAATAAAGAAATTAAAAAATAACAAGAGTCCAGGAAGTGATAATATAACTGCAGAGATGTTCAAATATGGAGGGAAAACGCTAGAGGAGCAAATGTCCAAATTAATAAAGGAGATTTGGATTAAAGAACAACTACCACAAGAATGGACAGATGCAATTATATGCCCACTTTATAAGAAAGGCGATAGGACAGATTGTCAAAATTACAGAGGGATGTCACTATTGAATACTGCATACAAAATTCTTGCAGCGTGTATAAAGGACAAATTGGCAGGAGTGATAGAAAACATTGTCGGCGAGTACCAATGTGGCTTCAGACCTGGTAGAAGTACAACAGATCAGATATTTACGCTCAGAGAATTGCAAGCGGAAAGTTATCAACACAATCTGCCGACAAGGGTCCTCTTCATTGATTTCAAACAAGCGTACGATAAAATAAAACGGAACCAAATGAGCAAAGCACTAGAAGAATTGGGTATCAGTAAAAAACTTATAAGAATGATACAAATAACGTTGTCCAAGACTGAGAGCAGAGTTAAAATAAATAATATAATGTCGGAGAAATTTGAAGTCAGTGAAGGAGTAAGGCAAGGAGATCCCCTATCATCGATACTATTCAGCTTGTGTTTGGAGAAGGTCATACGAGATGCAAATGTCAACAGAGAGGGATTGTTATACCAAAGAAAGCACCAATGTCTAGCCTTTGCAGACGATGTAGTAATACTGGCTCGAAGCAAATTAGAGCTACAAGAAATAGTAAAGAGGCTAGATAGAGAGGCAAAGAAAATAGGCTTAGCCATCAACGAAAGTAAGACAAAATACATGGAATGGATAGATGACAGTGAACAAAAAGGAGGAAATCTAAAAATAGAAGTATAGGGTGAAAAAGCATATATATTTGAAGCAGTGGAAAGATTTACATACCTGGGGTCGATGTTCACATGCAAACTAAATATTAGAGAGGAGCTTCAATCAAGAATAATGGCAGGAAACCGATGCGTATACTCCTTAAACAGGCTATTAAAAAGTAAACAGATATCTAGGAACGCCAAAATAAGGATTTTTAAAACAGTTATACAACCAGTGGTAACCTACGCCAGTGAAGTGTGGACACTGAACAAAGGCGAAACAGGTATGCTCGAAATATGGGAAAGAAAGGTTTTGAGAAAGATATTTGGAGGCAAGATAGTAGACAATACATGGAAAAGAAGAACAAATAAACAATTAGAAGATATGTACAAGAATCCTAGTATAGTGGGAGTAGTAAAGGCTCAGAGACTCAGGTGGCTAGGGCACATAGAAAGAATGACAAATTCTCGAGTACCAAAAATGATTCTGATGCATACAATGGGTACAAAAAAAAGAAGAGGAAGGCCGAGAAGTAGATGGAAGCAACAAGTAGAGAAAGACCTAGAAACACTGGGAATAGAAAGATGGAAGGACAAGGCTAATAATAGGAAGAAATGGAAAACAATAACAGCTCAAGCCATGGGCCTACTAGGCTCGTAGTGCTATATATATATATATATATATATATATATATATATATATATATATATATATATATATACATATATATATATATATATATATTGTTATGCTATTTAAATTGTATTCTATTGCTTATTTAGAAAAGATCCTGTCTATATTTATTAAATGATCTAATCTCCAATTAATCACAATAAATCAGCATTAATTAATTACAATCTCAGGCTATTTAACTTGTACTATTTACCTTTGATCGTGGATTCAAAATATTTTCCAATTGGCTTCCTAATTGGGATAGGTAATATGACCTGAATAAAATACACAGAATTTCAACTGAAGTATATGTGAGATGTCCTTTATTTTATTGAAATTTTATATAACAATCAATCCTGTAATATTTGCAATACAATACTTTAAATATATGAGAAGTTGTTTTCTATCATGGACTCAAATGTTATTTTACATTGATTTTTAATATGTGTTATAACTAAGCTCTCTTTATAATTTTTTTCTTTAAATGATCGCAAAATTAACTGTCTCTATTATTTATTCAATTTATTTAATTAATAAATGAAAACCACACTCCTGCTCTAATGAAAATTGACTGACCTTTCGTTATCTGCCGTTGCAATTCTATGGCCACGCCATAAAAAAAAACCTTTCTCTGCTTCTGCTCCTATTTTGGTCCAGAAGACGTACACCTTTCTCCTATCTGTCCTTGTATCTGCAACCCAACAACTCGTGTAATTCTATGCAGCCTCCTTTTGAACCAATCTCCGCGCCTGTTTATAACTTCAAATGTTTCCGGCTTCGTCTGATATTAATATTCTTATACCCTTTGGTTTTTCTATCTCTCTGTACCCCGTTCCTCACACTGATCAGCTTTTACACAGCAAATAAACACACCCGGTAAATTACGTCTTCGGGACTTCAAACAAACACAAACCACAAAGCTCCTTCCTTCTTGGGCGACGAAAACTGACTAACTCCTTTCCTCTCTCCTATCTCATAGCCAAAACCACTCCCTCCTTGCATTCAAAAATTGACCAATAAAAATCTTCTACCTCTGTCACGTATATCGTTACCAACCAACTCTCTTTATAAAACGTCATTCGGGTAATTCCAGAAAACAACATTCTTTAATTATTCTAGCTAAATCTATCTGCTTTACAAATATTTCTTACTAATAGCTACAAACGATACCTGTTTCTCAATTCAATGTCTTTTGTTAATAAACTTTTACCGATATAATCTTTCGGGGGGAAAACCACCGCACATCCCGGTCTATTGTTTAAACACTTTCTATATACACTTTTATTACGGGTAAATCCATTCCACAATAACCGACTTATTTAAATTTCTTATCGATAATATTTGAAAGTCTTGTCTCTGAGGCCTAATGAACAATTCTTCGAACAACTTAAAATACATATTTTGTCTTATACAGGATGTTTGAAAATTTATATGCCCGTGTCTTTATGAAATATCAATAATTTTAATTTTTATTTAAGTAATAAAATTTGTATATCGGTTTTTTATTGCTAATGGACATTCAAAAGTACAACAAATCCCCGCCTTTGTAATCGATAAAATTTATCAATCTATGCAACTAAATTTTCTCGAGGCAAACTAAAACGCACTTCCTGTATGCTATCTGTACTTATGCTAAGTATTTTGTGGCCACTCGGTTTTCCTTATTTATCAGCGTTTCATAGTCTCTTAAAATTTCACGCAATTCATTTTCTTTGCCTTCTCCACATATCAATTTTTTTTTTCTCCCATCAAATTCTTCGCACATATTCACCGTGTACTCCGTGTCTTTTTCAAACACCACTGTCTCCATTGTGTCCTCTTTATTTTCCTTTGTTTTTTTTTTTTGTTGGGCTCGTCTCTTCTTTTGAGGAATCCCATATGTTCTTTTCAAATTAATCCTTTTCCTTTTCCTTCATTTCCTTTGTTTCTTCTTCTGTTGGGCTCGTCTCTTCTTTTGATGAATCCCAAGGTTTGCTTTCATTTCTTGTCAAAATCTTTCCATCTTCTTCTCCTGAGCTCGTCTCATCTTTTGAGGAATCCCAGGTTTTTTTTTTCTTTGATCTTTTTCTGACCTTTTCCCCTCTTTCTTCCTTTCCCTTTCTTCGTCACCAGGTTCATTTCCACCGTTTGTTCTTTCTCTGATTTGTCCGTAATTTGTTTCTCTTGTTCCTTATCCTGTTCTTCTTCTTTTTCCTTTGTTATTTTCATCGTATTGGTTTTGAAGTCGATCACTACATGTTTTTTCCGTTAATTCGTCAACGCCTACAATCATGTCATGTGACATATTCGGCATTATTACACATTGAAGTGCATACATATTTTTTTTCAATCGTACCATTACTCGTATACCTTCATTTATTGTTGCCAATGTCCGTTTATTTGCGCCCACTAAATTCACCCTAGGTATTTTATAAATTAGACTTGTTAAATTTACTTCTTCGATTAATTTTCTGTTGACCAGTGTTATTTCAGAGCCTGTGTCTATCATAATTTTAATTGGTTTCTCATTTATAAATCCATCCACAAATTTTAAATTAACTCCATTTCTCTTTTCATTGTTTCCTGCCAGTTTAATAAATTCCTTGGGGTGACAAAAAATTCCTGTTTGTTTCTTCGTTTTTAGTGAGCGCCTTCTTGAAAACACGCCTGTTGTTCTTCTGTGTTTTCTCGCCCGTTATCTTCTCTCTCATATTCATTTTCTTCTCTTTGCATATTATTTATTTCTCTTCTGTTCTCTTTTGGTCTATTATTCCCGTATCGGTAACCGCGAGATTCCTGTTCATTCCGTGGGTTATTGTATTTGTTTCCTTGGTATGGGCGGTTATTTCTACTCTGATTTTCCCGATCCCTGTTTTCATTCCATCTCTGGGTTCTGGGTTCATAATTCTCTCTTCCGTTCGGTCTATTTTCGTATCCCCGTCTAGGTATGAATTCTCGTCTTGTATAATCTCTTCTAAAATTTTGACCTCTATCTCTATATTCTTGGTTTTCTCTTTGTCTATAATTTTCTTGCGGTCTTCTTTCTCTTCTTTCATGCCTACGTGATTCTCTCATTTGCAAAAATTGACATAAGCTGTCAATGTCCTTGTAATTTTGGAGATTTATGTGGTCTTCCAAGGTATCTTCAAAGTGTCGCGATATCAACTCTACCAATTGTTCTGATGAATAATTATATTGCAAATGTTTTGCAATATTATAGAGTTGTAATGCGTACATCTTTTCTGATACGCCCATCCTCTCATGGTATTTTCCATTTTGTAACTCTTTATTTACTTGTAGTTGCTGGATTTTTCCCCAGAAATAATTTAAGAATCTTCTCTCAAAATCTTGCCAATTGTCAAATTCTTCTTCCTTGCTGACAAACCAAAGATTTGCCTCTTCTTTGAGATGGTTTCTGATGGTTTCCTTTGCTGTTGCAAACGGTCCTATGTATTTGACTTTTTCCTTTAGGTTATTTATAAAAGGCACGGGGTGTAGTTTCCTTATATCCCCGCCAAATCGTACTTTTACGTCTTCTGTGCTATGTACGATAACTTTTTTTCTTTCTACTTCTCTTATCTCCATCTCTGCAATTTGTTTAAATCTCCTTTCCGTTTCTTTCCGGTCTTCTTGTAACGCCCTTTCAAATTTTTCTTCTAACTGTTCCAGTTCCTTTTTCTGGACAGCCTTAATATCCTTCATTTTAGTTTCCATTTCTTCTCTCTGCATCTCTAGTTTCCTCTCTGTTTCACTAACTTTTTCTAAACAGACTTTTACTTCATTTTCATATTTGTCCAAACGCTTTTCCATTTTTCTATCATTTTCTTCTAATTTCTGTTCTATTGCTTGTCTTGTTTTCCGTTGGTTTTCTTCGATTTTTAGTGATGTTTCTTTTTGGTTCTCTTGTATGGCCTGTTTTATTGATTCTTGTATTTGTTGTGTCTGTAATTGCATCATTGCTAATAATTTTTCTATTCCCGATTCTTGTTTTTCTGTCTCCATTACTGTTGTGTCTAATACGTCTTCCTGGTCTGAATATTCTTCCTGTTCTGATTTATCTTCTTGTTTTTTGTTCTCTTTGCTCTTGTTTCTTGTGTTTGGCATTTATTATGTTTTTATCCCCGCCAAATATAAAATTCTACTGGTCTGTTGCAACAAACGGGACTTTTCTTGTTCAAATGTAATAACTCTTGAGTACGAGTATCAAATTTCAATATCCCACAAATAAATCAAATGGTAAAATATCAAATGTCAAAATCAATCAAATAAATCAAGTATGGTAAAATTATCAAATGTAAATATCACACAAATAAATCAATTATGGTAACCTCTAAATTGTCAATATCAAGAATAAATTAAATATGGTAAATTGTATCTTAAAAAAAAATATAAATCTTCAGTGTCCTCAAATTTTACATAATATTTCACTTTATCCACGGCATATAAACTTTCAAATATCTGCTCGTCTACTCCTATCCTTTCAAATTTGCCAACTAGAAATATTTTTCAAAGCCCCACGTTGGGCGCCATTTTGTTATGCTATTTAAATTGTATTCTATTGCTTATTTAGAAAAGATCCTGTCTATATTTATTAAATGATCTAATCTCCAATTAATCACAATAAATCAGCATTAATTAATTACAATCTCAGGCTATTTAACTTGTACTATTTACCTTTGATCGTGGATTCAAAATATTTTCCAATTGGCTTCCTAATTGGGATAGGTAATATGACCTGAATAAAATACACAGAATTTCAACTGAAGTATATGTGAGATGTCCTTTATTTTATTGAAATTTTATATAACAATCAATCCTGTAATATTTGCAATACAATACTTTAAATATATGAGAAGTTGTTTTCTATCATGGACCCAAATGTTATTTTACATTGATTTTTAATATGTGTTATAACTAAGCTCTCTTTATAATTTTTTTCTTTAAATGATCGCAAAATTAACTGTCTCTATTATTTATTCAATTTATTTAATTAATAAATGAAAACCACACTCCTGCTCTAATGAAAATTGACTGACCTTTCGTTATCTGCCGTTGCAATTCTATGGCCACGCCATAAAAAAAAAACCTTTCTCTGCTTCTGCTCCTATTTTGGTCCAGAAGACGTACACCTTTCTCCTATCTGTCCTTGTATCTGCAACCCAACAACTCGTGTAATTCTATGCAGCCTCCTTTTGAACCAATCTCCGCGCCTGTTTATAACTTCAAATGTTTCCGGCTTCGTCTGATATTAATATTCTTATACCCTTTGGTTTTTCTATCTCTCTGTACCCCGTTCCTCACACTGATCAGCTTTTACACAGCAAATAAACACACCCGGTAAATTACGTCTTCGGGACTTCAAACAAACACAAACCACAAAGCTCCTTCCTTCTTGGGCGACGAAAACTGACTAACTCCTTTCCTCTCTCCTATCTCATAGCCAAAACCACTCCCTCCTTGCATTCAAAAATTGACCAATAAAAATCTTCTACCTCTGTCACGTATATCGTTACCAACCAACTCTCTTTATAAAACGTCATTCGGGTAATTCCAGAAAACAACATTCTTTAATTATTCTAGCTAAATCTATCTGCTTTACAAATATTTCTTACTAATAGCTACAAACGATACCTGTTTCTCAATTCAATGTCTTTTGTTAATAAACTTTTACCGATATAATCTTTCGGGGGGAAAACCACCGCACATCCCGGTCTATTGTTTAAACACTTTCTATATACACTTTTATTACGGGTAAATCCATTCCACAATAACCGACTTATTTAAATTTCTTATCGATAATATTTGAAAGTCTTGTCTCTGAGGCCTAATGAACAATTCTTCGAACAACTTAAAATACATATTTTGTCTTATACAGGATGTTTGAAAATTTATATGCCCGTGTCTTTATGAAATATCAATAATTTTAATTTTTATTTAAGTAATAAAATTTGTATATCGGTTTTTTATTGCTAATGGACATTCAAAAGTACAACAATATATATACATATATATATATATATATATATATATATATATATATATATATATATATATATATATATATATATATAAAATAATAGAAAGGCCAAGATAACTTATTTTCTGTTTTGTTGTTTGTGATAACCAGCTATCGAAAAACATCGTAATTGAGATAGACCATGTAATAAACCTTCCTTCTTTCGGATGGTTAGTGACTCCCTCACGAGAAATTCAAAACAAATATTAACATCTAACTTTTAGACATACTTATTTGATATCTTTAAACCACAAATTAAAAAAAAAGTAATTTAAATTACATTTAAGTCCTTTTTGTAATTTTGTAACATAGACCGGATATCGATTTTTCAAGATTGTAACAAACCTCATAAAAAAAGTACTCAAAGTAAAACCTTATTCCTTATTTGCCTATGTGTTATTTTAAGTTTTTTACTGTACAGAATCTGTTTGTCTATTTTTATAAGCCCTTTTATGTTCAGCTTTTGTTTTTACCAGTTTGACCGATGTAAGTTTTTGGGCAGTCGCCACGTTTAAATTTGTATACACCACTGTGTAAGTAATTTTTCTTTTAGCTACTATTGTTCTTAATATATTTGGCTAAGTTGTTGTTTGTTCTAAAAGCTGGTGTTATTCTTTTCTTTTTTATATGTTTGGCTATTTTTGTTGATATCTTCCTGTATATATAATCGAGCAGAAGGTACTGGATTTTTCCTCTGGTGGTGAAAATACTAATCTCAGGACTTTTTTATGTGGTTTTTTATTTAAAATTTTATTTGTTTGTTCGTTGTAACCATGGTTTACTGCTATTTAATTAATGATATTCAATTCTATCTATCGTCCCACATAGTGTTCATTTCTACGTCTGACATAACCAAACCACTGCAGTCTTTGTTCTTGAATATTTCTTATAACTGTAGTCACCCCGTCTCTTTCCACAATCAAGTCGATTCTTGATTGATCCTGTCCATTCCAGTCGTAACCAACATCCTCCTTAACATCTTCATTTCAGCTACCTCCACCTTACTTTTCTGAAATGTCTTTACAAGCCACACTTAACCACCGTACAACAACGCGTTTCTCACCACATTCTTGTATATCTTTCTTTTCAGCCTTACCCTGATCTTTAGATCACAAAGTGCCTTGCTTATTAGCTTTCAGTTAAACCAACCAGCCTGTATTCTGTGGGCAATTTCTCAATCTAGTGTTCCATTTTCCAATATGAAGGAGTCAAGATATTTAAATTTTCCTACTCGTTTTAGTTGTTCTCCACGCAATTCTATGTCCGCAACCACTTCTCTTCCCCCCAACCACATATACTCCGTTTTCGATCTGCTAACCTTAAGTTTTCAATAGCAGTTCTCTAACCCTCCAATTTCTCCTCAACATTTCTTTGATCTCCTCAACAACACGCTATCATTAGTAAAGAGCATTGACCAATGACCTGCCTTTTCTTTTCTGTCAGTACATCTATAACAATTTTAAACATGTAGGGTCTCAGTGAAGAGCCATAATGTAAACCAACCGCCTCTATTTGTGTATCACACTATTCTATAGTATTCCAAAAAGCGAGGCTGCCGCTTTTACCAAACTTGTCATTTTAAATATTTTTTCTCTGTTTTTATCACCATTATGATCTACATCTGAAACCTTTTGGGCCAGTGCTCAAGGTTCAGCTCAAGTTGAACTAAAATGTATAGAGATTTATATAAAATTGATCATACAATGAAGCAAATTTAGAAAAAATTCATGGTATGTTTCTCCTTTTGGGTATCCCATCTGTAAACACACAGTATTACTATTATATTCACAAAGCAAGAGTAAAAATATGCAAAGTTTTTTTCATTACAAAATTTGATCAATACCTTAACGGTAACCAAGGAAACAAAACATTTTGTCTAATGGCATTCAAGTTGAGCCAGTGTCACGGTAAACAGAACTAAATTAAAATGGCCAAAGGTAAAGGAAAAAAGGGTAAAAAAGCAAAGAAACAAGTAGAGATTGATCCGAATGCTTTAACAGAAGTGGACAAAACATTTTACGAACTAACTATTACTGATTTAAATCGAAAATTGGCCAGATTAAGGTCAGTAAATCAATCTAATAAATAGGTAATTAGTAAATAATAGTTTAGTCTACAGTTTCGGCTAAAATAAACTATAACTGTTTGTACGTTGTGGTTCTTATATTATTGAAAATGATTATTAAACATTTTTGTACCCTATAAGAGCGAAATATTAAATGTGAGGGCGTTGTGCTTGGCATTATTCGTTTCAGATGTGATGTTCATTCGCCAGAAATATTAAATAATTTTTACTACCTTAACAAATTTGTCACAAAAATTATATTGTAACGGCTATCATTTAGATGTAAAAACTAGAGGTTATATGCCATTGCCCTGAAACGTCAAGTTGTATTTTTTAAGTATATTTCAGACTTACGTTCAAAAAGTTTAGCTAGGTTTAAAGCTAATTATTTATTTGTTAAACTATAAAAAATTCAAAATAAATTGTTTGGAATCTGTTAATTTTTTATCGGAATATTTATTGGAATGCTAACATAAAAAAATCAATCAGAACATAATCAATGCAAATATACTACTTCAAAAATAATGCACCTCCTGAAATGTACCATAAATTTGAAGGTATTTTTTTTCTGAACCGTTGATTAGATTTAGACGATTATGCCAACGTTTTACCTATATCCGAGATATAAATATACAGTTGTGATTTTCATCTCATTTTGTAATATCCTGTGGAATGTATTAGAAACAAACGCTGCATCTTTTCTCAATATTTTTATAAAAAGATCATATGAAAAAAAAATACGTTGAAAGTATAAAGTGATTTTATTGAATCAAAAGAGTAAAGACTGGTACACAATGACACATTTTTTAGGAAATGTACTCTAACATCGGAATGCAATTTTTGAAAAAAATCTCCATATAGAGTTATGTTATCTGTATACATTTGTGTATAAAATTTAATAATTATTAATACTGAATTTGTTTCAATGTGTACCACCGGTGGAACAGTTAAAAAGAATGATTAAATACACACAAATATTTATTATTTCTTCAAGTTAACGTACAATAAAATTGTTAAACTCCAAACCCAATCTATAATAGCAAGATAGTCATTTATTTTCTGTATATATATATGGAGGTGCTGGCAATAACACAGCAAAATCAGATTTTAAACCCATATGAATATCAGCAACATCTGGAAACTAAAAAGAATTGAAAACTTTCGTACTTCTTCTCAAATACGAAATTTTAAATTCATGAGATTTCATAATTTCGAAAATTTTGGCTACATAATGGATGTTGTTCTTAAATTTTAATATTTTCAGCAAATACGTAGTATTCTGAGTCATCTTTTTGTTCCTGCATCATAAGAGAACTTAATTCATCTCCTAACTCTAAACTTCCAGAATCTGTTTCTAAATCACTTTCACCTGATTTGGTTTGTTTTTGGAAGGGACCTTGTAACAGCCTTTTGTTGTTAAAGCTTTACAAATATTTCGTTTCACTTGCTGTGAGTGCTGCTGTTGTAGGGGTGTTCTTACCTTTCGTTTAATAAGACAGGTCTTTCATTTCTGGTGTACTAGTTAAAATGGCACTTTTCCTTGATTTTTTGACTTTAATTTTTTCTGGGTGCGGCCTTGGGAAAAACCTGTATGTCGAATGAAAATAAAAAGAACATTTTGATGTCATAGGTATTTCAAGAGTTGGGTTCGGATCAGATCCTTGGGTTGTATTAGATGAAGTAAAAACTATATTACCTGAAGATGAAGATACTGATACATGCTCTTCGTGATAGGTAAAATCTCTTAGTACAACCATAGCTTTTTATTCGTCATAGTTTTCAAAATCATCAATCTGTTTGTCAGTAACCGACAATAATAGAAAATCAGTTTCACTAAAAATATGTTTATTCAAAGTGTAGATACCCGTAGATTTGACGCCGTTCATAATATTTTCAGGTGTCATTGATTTTGAGTGAGCAATACCAGCATATTCTGCTATATGAAACAGTATTATAGGAAAGCCGGGTGGTTAGAAGGCATGAATCAATCGCACTATTGTAATAGTTTATGAAGGAAAAAACCTAGTTTGTCCAACAGTTGTATCTTATTACTTGTATGTGGGGGTAAAGTTAAAATGATTATGGCATTAGCTTTTGCTTTTTCTACTATTTCTAGAGACATGTGGGATTCGTCATTGTAATATATTTATAAACACGGGTTTTGTTTTCTAGCACCATTATGCTTAATAAAATGATCTAATATTTGCGCGAATAGTTCGGCGGTCATCCACCCACTTGGAGCACCATTTAGCAAAATCGTATTAAACTTTTTTCTAATAATGATGGTAGGTAGAAATGTTCCATTGGCTTTAATTATTGCACAAGTAGTAGCGAGTGCCTCTTTCGGCACTTGTGCACTGGTTCAGCTGTTTAACACATCTTTGTGCCATAACTTTATGTGGTCGTTAGATAGTCTTAGAAGCAGTTCGTCTTAACTGTAGATGCGAATAACTTCAATTGATGGATAATTACGTATATTTGCTTCAATTTAAGAAAAATCGGTTTAAAAAAGTCAAAAAACATTTGGTTTTGTAAATGAAGTAAGCCTTGGCAGTGAATAATCTTCTGAGGCTTAATAATGAATTTCTTTTTATAAATGCACTTAACCCATCTTTGCTTGCACATTTGTTGGCCTTCCAAGATTCTGGCATAGTAATATTCTTTTTAGCAGCAATTTATATGCTAATTCTTTGACTTTAAGGATATTCAACCCAAAAGCAATTTTGCTACATTTGTTAATATAATTACACGTCGATGTCTCATGCTCTGTGTTAAATACTAATCTAACAGCATAATTCGGCTCTATTTTTGCATTCAGATCATCTTTTTTAAAATGTATGCCAAAGTGCAGTTCCATTTGTTTTAACCTCTGTGACTGCTGTAGTCATTTATTCTCTTGTAAATTTAGCTCTTCATCTTTCTTTCAGGCCTCGGTTCTATTCTATTATTTTTTCTACCTTGTTTTCATTATAAGATAGATATAAGACAGAGCAGTTTTAGATTGACAATATTATTTACAATTCCTTCAATTATTGCTGCTTTGCGTATGTTAGTTAGTTTTTTTTTTAAGAAATATCAGCCGATATAAATGTGTGCAGGCTATTAATTTAGCCGATATACGATTAAATTATAGTAAAAAAGGTTTGAGGTAAAAAGTATCCCATACTGCAATATCACGAGTTGTTTAACGTTTTCGAGAAATAAATGACTATACTAGACGGCCAGGACAAGGAAGAGAAAGAGTTACAGCATCACACTAAGATCAGTTTATTGGGCTTCAACTTACTAAAGAACCTTTTTGTCTCAATGAGATATTTACAAATACAAGTGGCAGATGTTTATAATATTCAAATTAGTAGGATCAGGATTCGAAGGCTTGTCGCTTAACAAGTTTTGCATATAAGGATATCAGTCAGAGCACCAGATTTAAACCTACATCATCGTAAAAGTATACTGAAATTTGCCTATGAACAGTGCAACATACGACCTGTGACTTTCGTCAATAGAATATCTGTAATGGTTTGGTCACCAACGGACCTTATTAATTTACGAAGAGATTGCTTTGTAAATGTCTGTAAAGGTATATTACAGACTTTTGCCAAACCATGTAGTTAAATTTGCTTCTTACATAGGAAATACTAGCCACCCTGTAGCCTTGATATCTTATAGAGAATTTGTAAGATATCATTGATTGTCAACCTACTATCTAACTCTCCTGATGACCTCGAAGTTGTGTGTAGAGAAGTTTGGGTTGCAATTGATCAAAAAAAAATACGACGCTTGATTCTAAGGATTCCTAGTCACTGTGAAGAAATAATTAGAAATAGCGGTGGAAATACTCGCTATTAAGTATTTTTGAGAGAGAGAACTTGTTAAGGAATATTAAGGTTGTGTTTTTTCTTAGGCTTACTTATTTTAAATGTCAATAAAGTTTATATAAGTCTATCTATTTAAGAGGTCTTTCTCGCTTCTGTTCGCACAAAAATTGAAAAGCCTGCAACATAAGCGTTTGTATTAAGTTAGTTTAATTTTTAAGTTTCAACTTCTGTACCTAGTCTTTGAAAATCCTGATTTAATTCATGAGTGTAAGTGTAGCGTAGTATTTTAATAGTCAGGAGGCTTTTGGCTTCTAGAATGCAGCAAATGAGCGGTAAGAATACGACCATCGAATCCCATTTTGCGCTAGGACATTTACTTCGTTCCAAGACTTTCCTTAATATCTCATCTGGTACATAATTAATCTTTTTCAAGTTTGTGCTGGGCGTCCTCTTTTTCTTCTTCCTTATTTATAAACTTATATTTATAAACTTATGCTTAATTTAATTAATTTAATTATCGTTTAATTAGAATTCATAATTTAAATTCATATAAAAAATAAATGTTTAATTTTGTTTTATCTTAGATCGCAAAATCAAGAACTAGAACAGAAAAATGAAGAACTGGTACAAGAAAAAGAAAAACTGGACGAAGACAGAAACGATATCATCATGTACCTTAAAAGAACTTTACAAGAAAAAACTAATGAAATAGCTGAATTGGAGGAACGAATAACTGCCATGAAACAGGAGCAAGAAGATACAACCCAAATGTACGAGGAAAAAATTATCGAAATGACGAATGAGTATAACACAATGCATGATCAGTTAACTTCTGAAAATAAACTGTTGGAAGGTAAATCAATTTAATATAAAGATATTTGACGTAGCTGTCAACAACTTTATTTGACTATTGAACTATTTTTTTTTTGACGATTTGGTAATATAGCTTTCGCTGTATAAAAGATAGAATAGTTACATATTGAAAAACGCGACTAGAAGATGAATCTTCCTTTCACATATTTACTGTTAATTTGTACTATTTTATTTTTCATTTATTTTCTTTTTTCAGTTTTACGACCGTTATCGATTGTTGGATATCATGTAGGCTACCATATTTGCTATCGTGACTTTATGATAGCAGCTCTAAATAACGATGTACTCGATTTTCTCTACCATTATTTTAGATTTTTCAGCCATGATGTTCTTCTTCTACCTTGCATCATCACATTTACCTTGCCTCTTGCCGTGATTCTTCTTCTTCATGTGCCGTGCTTGATTATCGAGCGTTGGCTATAAAATTGGCTATAGTATTTTGTTGACGGCAGCTCGGAAAAGAGATGCAGAGGATCTGTTAAACCAATCTCTCAGGTTTCTAAGTCCTGACGTTTTTCTTCGACCTGGCCCTCTTCTTTCGTCTACTTTGTCTTGTATTATTAAGTGGAGTATATTATATCTCTCTGGGTGGCGCATAACATTTCCAAAACATTCAAGTTTGCGATTTTTAACTGTTGCAATTAATCCGATGCAAAAAAACTTCGTTACGAAGTCTATTCACATAACTTATTTGTAGGATTCTCCGATACACTCAGATTTCAAAGACTTCCAGAGTCTTGAGAAGTGTATCCGTCAAAGTCCAACCTTCGACACCATACAAAAGAGTAGAGAACACATAACAACTTACTAATCTAATTTTCAGACTTAAAGTAATATTGTTTCCACATAGCAGTTTTGTTCACCTTAAAGAATGCAACTCTGGTCTTCTCTATCCGTATTGTAATTTTTTGCTCATATCTCAGTTCTCATTTAGATTACAACCAAGGTACGTGATATTGTTAGTTCTCTGCAGTTGTTTACCATAAGCTGTTACCACTTCTGGTTGTATTAACGTTTTACTGACGACCATCACCTTTGTCTTTGCAGTGTTTAGCTTAAGGCCATATTCATCACACGTTGTGGTAATCCTATTAATTAGATGTTGAAGTTCTTCGTAATTGCTTGCAATTAACACTGTGTCATCCGCATATCTCAAATTATTAATATTGACGCCATTCAGTTTTATACCACATTGAACATTATCCACTGCTTTATTGAAAACGAACTCATAATAGATGTTAAATAGTAACGGGGACAAAATGCAGCCCTGCCTTACTCCTCTTCGTATTTGAATATCTTCAGAAGTGTCTCGGCCAATCCTGATGTTTGCACGTTGATGTCAGTAAAGATTTTTAATAATGCGTAGGTCTCTATCATCAATACCTACCTGCTGAAGAATGGCTATTATTTCAGTATGTTTTACTCAATCAAAGGCCTTCTCAAAGTCAATAAAACACAAGTAAACTGGATGTCCGACATCTCTGCATCTCTGTACCATAACCTAAATACTAAATAGTGCTTCTCTTGTTCCAAGGTTATTGCGGAATCCAAACTGTGTGTCACCAAGTTGTTGTTCTATTTTTTAGTACATTTAGAGTGCAAAATTCGTAGAAATATCTTTAAAACATGACTCATCAAGCTGATGGTTCGGTAGTCACTACATCTTTTTGCATTTGCTTTTTAGCTATCGTCAGAAAAGTCGACAGCCGCCAATCCGTTGGTATATAGCCAGTTTCATAAATTTTATTAAACAGATGAAGGAGAGACATTTTACCTAAACTTTCGTAGAGCTTTATTATTTCACTCGGTATTTCATCTCGTCCCGTCGCTTTTCGGGTCTTTGCTAATCGTATTGCTTGTTCGATTTTATCCATAGTTATATCAGGTCTTGTAACTACTTCGGTAATTTTAAGCTAGGGTCTTTCATCACTAAACAGTTCCTCAATATACTCTTTCCATCTGTCTATTTTATGCAAATTAGTGATAATCAGTTTTCCGTCTCTATTAACGATCTTATTTGCTTGTTTTTTGTTCTGACCTGTCAGTTTTTTTTATACATATTAAATGAATCATGTTTTCACTGTAACTCTTCAATTTCTAAACATTTTTTTTTTCGAAGTATGTTTATTTTGCAGCTCTTATTTTAGTCCTTATCTCTTTATTCATTACTTTATACATTTCTACGTTTTGGTTCTTAAAATTGCGTCTTTTTTCCATCAAATTCAAAATCTCATCGTTGCTCACTGTTGCTTTTTTTTCACTGCTCTATTTCTCTCTTCCGTTATCGATTAGATGTAAACATTTATATTTTTCAGTGGGTCTCATGATGTAATAGCAGTATTCCAGTCTGCGTCTATTTATTACATTGACCAGTTGTGTTGTTTGGTTCAGGCGTATAAGGACCTGAGCATTTCTAACTCTGTTGGTCCAGATTATTCATAGTAATCGTCTATATTACCACACCTTAAAGGCTTCCAAGCGTTTAAGCATTGCCTCGCTTAGGGTCCATGCTTCCACTTCATACAGTAGAACTAAAATAATATAGCAATATGTCATTTGAACACGAAGGTCAATATTGTAGCTTCAAAGCACGTTCCTTATTTTTACAAAAGTTGCTCGGGCTTGTTCTATGCAGCTTTCTACTGGTTCATCCCTGCTGACATTACGGTATCTCCGACTTTCATCCGTCATTCTGTATATAGCTTTGTTTACTAACCATCACATATTTAGTTTTCTTAACGTTGATTTATAATTCATACTGATCACATGTTTGTTTTATGTTGTTGTTGGCAACATCCCAGTGTCATAAATCCTGTTAAAGAGACCACACAGTACGTTAATTCCATTTTCACCCAAAAATAGTATTTCAGAACTTACTTTATCAGGGCCAAGTGCTTTTCCTTTTTTTGGCGTTTATATTGCATATGTAACCTCACTTTCTTTTATAGATGGACCTGTTATAGCCATCGTTATATAGTGTTCTAATCTTTCATCTTCAAATAATTGAGAAATGTAGTTTTTATTTTTATTTTAGTTCTTTTAACTGTACATTAATATCTAATATTTTGTATACGTTTTTGTCTTCTACTTTGGGATAGTTGTTTCCGTTTGATTCTGGCGATCTCTTTTAATTTCTTGTGCAGGTGAAATGTATCATTTTCCTTTTCGCATGTCTAATCTTCTGCCTGATTGTTGCATGCGTTCTCTTGTATTTTTTTTATCTTTCTTTTTGATTTTTCTTCTTTGATCCACGTATTAGTATTTCTTTTGTCATCCACCCTTGTTTTTCTTATTTTTAATGCACTTAATTTTGTTTCTTGAATGGTCTTTAATATATCTTTAATTCGCGTCCAGTTTTTCATCTTTCCTTGATGTCAACTTTATTTTCTGTTTTAATATACTGATAATTTCTTGTTTTACGGAACCATTTGACATTTTTTTTTTCTATCAATAGTAACCGTTTGCTTATTTATTCTTGTAACTCTTTTAAATCGCAGTCTTATTTTTCCTACCAGAATATTGTGACCTATTGGTACATCTGCACTTAAATATGTTTTGACTGCTAATACTGAATTTCTATATCTTTTATTTATACATATATGAAGTCTATTTTACACGTTTAGGTGTATCTGCTGGTGACCACCAGGTGTAAAGATGGTGCTTTGGAAGTTTGAAAATTTTGTTTGTTATTACTACTTGCTTTTCTGCTTAAAAAGGTGCAAGCATATCACCTCTTTTATTTCATATTCCCAGATCATATTTTCCTATAATATCTTCCTATTCCGTTTCGCCAATATTTGCATTAAAGTTTGCCATGACAATATTGAGCTCGTGTTTCTTTGTAGATGCTAATATTTTTAATACTTTTTCTTAATCGTGAGAGAACTTTTTAATTTCTTCTTCTTCATAGTTTTTTGTGGGTACATAAATGCCTGTAATAGGTTTGTTCCAACCAGAGTCAGAAACAAGTTGCAGACGTCAGGATTCTGCGCAATAACATAAAAGCGTTCCAACCGAAATTACAAACAGTCAGCAAGCAAATAGTTTTCTGTTCCAACCACACCAACAACTTGTTTGCTGACAGTCAAAACAGTTTGCGGATTTTCTTTGGACAAGAAATTTGGGGCATGCGTAGTACCGTTTAATAGTCGATTGGTTTGTCAATTGTCAACAGAACGGTTCTGTTTATATATATATCGGTTTTAGAACGTCTTTCGACGTTGTCCGATGCCTAACTTCCACGTCCTTCTATCATCCCATTGGCCGTCTCTAAGATCTCTTGTACTCATTGCTTTAGTTACCCCTTCTTTCCATGTCTTCTTGGGTCTTCCTCGTTTTTTGCGGTTTGGTGGTACCCACTGCATAATCTTCTTGGGTAGTCTTGTGTCTTCCATTCTTTGAACATGACCATACCAAATCAACTGTTTCCTCTCAATGTCTGTTGTTAAGTAACCATCTATTCCAATTCTTCGTCTTACTTCCTCATTTCGAACTCTTTCCCTGCGGGATATACCTAACGATCTTCTAAACACATCCATTTCTACAGCTTCTAATTTTTTTCTGTTGTTCTCGGTTATTCTCCAAGTTTCTGCTCCATAAAGTAGACTGCTTTTAATTAGTGACTCATAGATGTTATATTTTCGCTTTATTCCTATTTCAGAGCTCCAAAGTATTCCATTTAGGCAGCCAATTGTTCTTCTAGCTTGTGCAACCCTTTTCTTTATTTCCTCATCATCTTTTCCCGTTCTATCGAAGATTACTCCCAGGTACGTATATTCACTACAGGAGGTGATTTCTTCATTATTCTCTAGTTCGATATTGGAAAACTCAGCTCCTATGGGTAGGTATTTAGTTTTTTCTACATTTATTTCCAATCCCCACTGTTCATATTCCTCCTTTAGTTTTTTTGCCATATACACGGTTCTGTTTACTGTTTACAAATTGTTCTATGAACCCAACCCTAGTCGGGAACGCCGAACGCTTAGGTTAAAGTTTGTTTACCAATATAAATATTTTATTTGAGTTTTACTTAAAGTGATAACGTGATTATATCATTTGGGTATATATTGGGTATTTATTTAAAATCTGTAAAAATTACTGACACTGAGTCGTTTGGTAAAATGTATGTAAACAGTCAGTCGCTCAATCACAAAATAAAAGCAGAAATGAGAGGATGGATATGACAACAAACAACAGACAATTGACAAATTGTCGGTTGTTCCAACTACCTATCACTAATCAATCAGGAAGTCAGATATTTGATGACATGCGCAGTAGGAACAATCCACAAACTGTCAGAAACTTGTCTGTGATTCATGGTCGGAACAAACCTAATATATTCGCATTTATTGTTTTTGTTTGTATTTGTAACATTAGTAACCTGCCTAATAATAGAGCGAATATTTTACAGTCCTCGTTATAATTATTGCTACGCTATCTTCTTCTGACTGTTATACACTGTGATCATCTAAAGTTACTTTACCATACCCTGGCCATCTCATTTTACTTATTACAAGTATACTTATAATTAGGGGCTTTACTTCTTTTATGTTAATGTGAACCTTTCCTGGATCGTACATACTTCTTAAATTCCATGTACCTTTTTTCCTCTTATATCTTATCCTATTATAATTAGTAAAATGTGAAAGCCTTTATAATCAGCCAGGTCCGTCAGATCAGGAATAAGCTCCTTCGTCCACCTTGCCTCTCCGCTATCATTTGCCAATCCTCTCTATTACTCCACTATCGTTCTTTCTCTCTCTCTCTCTCTCTCTCATTCTCATCTATATTTCCATCGATTCTCCTCGCATAACCCCTTGGCGGTGATTGGCATCACCGCTCCAATGACATGCAGAAACTCATTTAAAACCATTATGTATGCTCTAGATACCCTGAGGAGCATTCGCCTTTGCGAAGTCTCCATCAGCTTGGCGTATTTCGCAGTGTTCATTGTGCTACATCATATGGAGGCAGCGTAGGTTACCACCGATTGGAAAACTCCATTTAACACCCTTCTTTTGGTACTACCTATGACTCCAATGTTTGGCATTAGCTGTATTAACTCCTCCAGATGTCGCTTGGTCTCCCTACCATCTTTTTGATGTGTACTCCGGACCTCAGTCCTGCCAACAACCAGACTACAAGATACCTAACCGATTTAACTGGTGCAACCTCCACACCTTTCACTATAAAGCGAAGAGAGGATTTATCCTAACTACCTTTGTTTAAGAACTAACAACTCAGTTTTCTGAGGTGTTAGCTGTAGATTATTCTCTCTGATGTACCTACTAATACGACGCAAGGCTGTGTTAGCCGCATTAGCTATGTCCGTTTTCTGACTCGCCTTCACAACCAGTGCGACATCATCGGCATAAGCTCCAAGAGTGCATTCTCTTGGCATATGTAGTCTCAACTCCCCGTCGTACAGGACATTTCATAGGATGGAACCTAGTACTGAACCCTGCATAACGCCCTGTAGCAAACTGATGCTGGTATCTTTTTCTCTTGTGAACCTGTTAGTAAAGTATCTGTCAATTACGTTGACCAGGTAGTCAATTACGCCCAATTTTCTTAGCCTGGACATAATGTTTTCCAATGATGCCGTGTTAAAGGCAATTTTGACGTCAATCAAGATGAAAGCCATCCATCTCTTTGTATCCTGGGTGACTAAAGAGGTTACATCTGTAACCGCATCTATGGTGGACCTTTTGGTCCTAAAACCATATTGGCGGTCGCTCAGCGCATGCTTTTCTTCCAGCTCTCGCTCAAGGCGGCCTTTCACAAGCTGCTCGTACAATTTAGTTACCAAACTAAGAACGTAAATTGGACAAAATCTTACACCTTTTTCTCTTCACCTCTACCTTTAGCGATAAGAACAACCTTAGCGTCTTTTAACAGTGTTGGAATCTGCTGTTGTTCAAGCAGTTTGTTTCAGTCTCAGGAAAACCTGCGGGGATCTTAGTCCGGCAAGTCTTACTGTCTCCGGCATGACTATATCTATATCAGATAACTTTCGGATCTTCATTCATTTAACAGCCTCTCTAAGTTCCAACTTAGTAAGAGTTCGGCCTCTAAGAAACCAGTAACCCATTCACGCCTATCCTCTACCTTACGAAAAAGTTAACGAATTTTCTCCTCCTAAGGCAGGGGTTAAGATGTCTTTTTCCCCTTTAATTCGGTACAGATAATCTAAAAGTCCTACCCTTAGATATCGCTTTCAAAATTCTGAAGCAAGTTACTTTACCTTAGATATTTTTATCTCATTCCTGTATTCATTCTGCATTTGCTTTAATTCATTTATTTTTTTTTTCCAAATTTCCTGCTTGCACTCTGCTTAACCTCTTACACTCCCTTTTTACTCTCATGCGATTTGTCCTCAGATATACAAACCGCTTGTTCCACCAGTATAATTGACCGTACCACACCAAAAGCATCTACAAAAACCTTCTTATTTTAACATTTTTTTAGATTGATATCCCCATCTTTCCGTTTCTGTCTTTTGCTAGCTATTTCAAAACTCACGTACTTGTGTAAGCTAAACAATTCTTCTTATAAAACAGTCCAGCTTACGGCCTAATTTAAAAATTACATTGAAACTAGTGTGATGTCCAGAAATGATTCACTATTACCTCTCATGAATATAGGTGCCTTACCGTGATCAATGGCGTGGATCCATTCTGATAGGTATTTCCCTCTCCCGTTATCTACTTAGATATGCAGAAATGTATCTACTCAGAGGTTCAATTGATTATGAGTAATCTTTTAATCACGTCTAATCTATACTACTATGTTTTTAATGGTATTGTTATACTTTATATTGACATTTTATTTTAGGTAAATTAAATTCACTGGAGGAATTCCGTTCTCAACGCGACGAACTGATGAAAAAATTCGAAACTCAGGAAAACGATATGGAAGCGCAAGAAAAACGTCACAAGAGGGAAATGTACGAAATAGAAAGAAAATTCATCATTGCCAAAGATCGACTAAAGAAAGATATGGAAGCCAAACTCCGGCAACTATCCACAGAATTCCACGATGCTACAGAGTTAAGAATAGCTGCTACGACACACCGAGTAATTCGAGAGAATATTGCTGTTAACAATGAACTGGATGTCCTGTTGAACAACCAGCAGAAACTGTTTAATGAAAACGTGAAGCTTAAAGATAAAGATTCTAATTTACATCGTCAAGTTGAACTGCTTGAGACAGAGAAGACTAAAGCTTTGGCAAAAGTAAGAGTACAAGTAAAATTAATAGACAGAATATCAGAAGACAATGAATTTTTAATCAGTCAACGTGACCACTACAAGAAATATGAAACAAAATATTTAGAATGTTGTAGACAAATTAAAGATCTTACAGAAAAATTAACATGTTCCGAACATGACAAAAGAATCTTGGAACAAAACCTTCACCATGTTAGATGCGATAGAACTGCTATACAAACAGACTACTTGTATTTACAAGAAGAAAATGAAAGACTTAACGAAATAATGATAGAGGCAGTTAGTTGTATCAAGGAAGCGTTAATTGTTAGAATTGAAAGTGATATATCATTTAAAGCTTCCAAACGTGACAATTTACTTAACTCTCTGTTGACTTTATTAAACAAAGCAAGAGACCATAAAATACGTTGTCCCTCGTTAGAAACTGTTTCCTTATTTGAAGCTACATATGCCAGAGGAGACCTAGGATTTGTACCAAAGCCCGTAGAGCTGCGATCAGCAGTTCCCGTTAGAAGAAATATGGATACTCAAACAGGAGCTAGCTTTGAAGAATACATAGCTACTGGGTACATTGCTAAGACTAAGATGATGTACTCAGAAATTGAAGATGAAGAAGATACAGTTGAACAAAGTGAAGGAGAACTTCGCGAAGAAGAAGGTCAACATGAAAGTGTTTTGTATTTTGACGATCAAGAAATGCCAGGTGAAGAATCCTCCGATGAGGATGGGCCTAATTTATATGATTTAATTCCTGAGGAAGAACCAGTCAAAGACGAACAAACTACTGATGTAGAGCAAGTTCGGTCTCCAACAGTCAAAGACGAAGAAACTACTGATGTAGAGCAAGTTCAGTCTCCAAAAGAAGATGAACCTGGTTCCGAAGAATTGATTACAAAGAGTGAATCAAAAACAGAGCAGTAAATCTTATAGGCAAATCTTTCTGGAACATTGTTAAGACAAATGTACGGAGAAAGAATTATTTTAAAAATTTTCTTAATCCGGTTGGTATAATATCAAATACATAGTCATGGTTAGTTAATGCTTTGCCAATCAAAATTGTATATAAAATATACATCTCACTCAAAAATTATTGAGTTTTTTTACGTTTTATAAATATATATATATATATATATATATATATATATATATATATATATATATATATATATATATATATATTATATATATGATATATATGTATATATATATATATATATATATAATAAATAAATAAATATATATATATATATATATATATATTATATATAATATATATGTATATATATATATACAAACAACACAGTTTATTAGGGATGCAGTCAGAACATTGACCGGGATGTTTAAAAAAACACTCTTTTGACTTTTTGTCTAGCTTTCGGGAATGGTTTTATTCCTTTTTCAAGACACTGTAATAAGAGAAATATGTAAATATTTAAAAAATATCACAATTCTTCAGTGTAACTTACTAGTTGTTGAGATTATTTGTAAAAGCATTGACACTCAACATTTTTAACATACATTAAAATATAAAATCATGGACAAAATACATTTTAAAATTTTTAAAATTTAGGGTAAAGGTGGTAAAACTTAGTTTATGACATGTTTTACTGTTGTGTTATATCTTACTATTGTGTTGTGTTTACTATTGTGTTACATAACTCATATGCACATAGAATGGAAAATAAAAACACTGTAATTAACATGTGATTAGGTGTACTTGATGTTATCTTTCTTTTCAAGAAATACTAGAGGCCCCTCTTAGGTGATTATACTTTTTTAAACCTGTCTTCATGGTATGCAACATATTACAGATACAGGTGTAATTTATGTATAGGTAAGTATTTATTTTATTTTTGGTGTTTCTCTAGTAAATAACAATAAATGTTTATCTAGTTTTTCTTATCTTAGTTTATTTATGCCAGACCTTTTATTGATGTAAATTGATGAAATTTTTATTGGTGTAAATTGATGAATATTTTTATTGATAAAAATACAGGAATCATCGAAATTGAACTCATGTTTCAGAGTTAATGCATGTTCTGTCAATGCACATGCATTGATTTTTTTGGTTTTTATATCACTACGATGTGATATCACCCTGCTGTGAAAATTACGAGATGATTCTCCTATGTAAATTTTATTACAATTAGTACACGGTATAGAATAAACAACATTCGATGACTCCTGTATTGTGAAAGGATCTTTTGTCTTTGTGTGAAGGTTCGATACCGTTTTCACATTTTTGGTTGTAATTTTTAAGCCACTAACATTTTTGAAGATGTTCATTAGCTTAGGTATTAGAACTCGAATGTAGGGTAGGTAACCATAAGTTATTTTAGATGGTAATATTGATGCGTTATGTGTCAAAGTCAATTGTCGGATCTCATTGTTATGAAAATTTTGGTTGACATAAACTTGCGTAATAGTAAAAGGAGAACCGAAAATGAGTTTTTCTTCAAACGTCAAATAATAATGACATTACTTATCTAACTTGATCCTGTCAAAGTTTGATGTCTCCGCCGGCAGCAGTTTTTTTTCCCATTTCTTTACAGCGGAGGGAAAAATGTTGTCATGGCAACAATATGAAACATGTCACAAAACAACAATACAAATGTCATTAACAACAATTAAACATCATTTTTATTTATAATAATAATAAAAGTACAATTAGTAAATGAGGCATTTTGAAAATTAAAACCGTGCAAAAACGTTCCCGACTCTTGATATGCATTGGTAATTGTTGATGATACTGATGGTCGAGAACAACTTTCAGCAATAATTCCCGATATTGGCGAATCATGAGGGTTTAAAATTTTTTGAGCATTATCGTTCTTATTTCTTATTGAATCCTCTATATATCCTTCGGCAACCGTGCTTGATTTCCAGCCCCCATGTCGTTTGAGGCATTCTAGATTTCCGCCTCCATCAATTAAAAGTGTTGCTGAAGTTCGTCGTAAAGAGTGACCCGTGTATGCGCTTGCATCGTTTAAATTTAAATAACTAGCTACTTATACTACATGCTTTGAAATATAATTTTTTTTACCTTTAATCCTAAATACAACTTATCTTGGCGCTTCAAACAAAAATTTATCAAACTCGTCTTTAGTGAAAACTTTACACTTCTTTGCAGTATATCCTTCGCTTGTTTTTTTTTTCAGAAAGGCACGTAACTTTAAAAATTTGCTTACAGTCCGTCCCAAACCCTTCTTTCAGTGCGTCATAGTTGTTCGAATTCTCTCTAACGCATTAAGCTAGAAGTGACAGAAAAAAACGTGAGTCGCTGATTATTATACATAGAACTTAGAAAATTAGGTATCGTTCACGGGTATTCGCATATTAAAGCGTATTCTACTTACGAACGTATAATTGGTTGGAGTTTAGAATACGCTAAATAGATATCCAATCAATTATGCATATAAATATAATTTGACACAGATGATCTTGATAATGACAGTGACAGTACTTTCACAATGTCAACTGATAAAATGATAATTGCCATTCCAGGTTAGTATTTTCAGACATTTTAACTACAGTGAAAATTAAATTTTGTATTTATTGTCATAAAAATATTTTAAATATTCCGAGATATACCAAGAATGAAAAAAGACTAATATTAAAATTATTAAATTAGTTTTAATTAGAAAAAGAGGCTGAGACATCTTTATTATCAGTTTCTGTCGTTTGCGAATCAGATTGTGAATTCCGGAATGATATTGAGGAAATATCTTAAAATAATACCTTTATGGATATTTATATGTATTAAAACGGTTCTTTTTAGAACCACATTTTCTTGAAATGTAGGATATAATTGATACCAGCCACATATCTAGTGTAATCATTGGTTTTCAACAATCAGATTCTGAATGGGATTATAGATTGTTTGAAATATAATATTCATTTTTGTTATTCATAAAAAAGAAGGTAAACTTACATTCGGTATCTTGTTTTTAACTAAACTCCATTAACACGATTTCATCTGGATATCGGAACTGGTAGATTAACTCAAAAATCAACTGCTTCACTATTTGAACTATTTATATTGTTTTTTTTTAACTAAACTTTATAACCTTCTTTCATTTGCACACCAAATCTGGTAGAATAACTCAAAAATCAACTGCTTCACTATTTAAACTATTTCCACTATTTAATGACAACTCTTCACAAAATTAAACTATTGGCTGCCACACAAACTTATCAGAAAATTACTTATCCAAATATGACTGACTTAAATCGATATTATTTTATCACAGGAATGTTTACTTTGATGCCTTGCAATTATCAGTAAATTTTTTTACCTTGCAGTCAACTCTTAAAAGATTCTAGGAGGAAGCGTTATTTTAAATAAACAAACCTTCCAATTCCTAGTGTTTGTAATAAATAATAATAAATCCATAAACAAATCTTAGCTAATTAAGCACTTTCCATGGAATGTATAAAATAGAACAGAATAGAATAGAATTATGACAAACTGCTATGCATTAAAAAAAAATAACCTTTTCACGTTTAGCCGATTACGATCCTGCAACTGTCAGATTTAACTAAAATGTCATGCAATAATTCTCGACATTCTTAAAATCCTATATGACGTCAAAATTAGTGACGCACTGAAAAAAGGGTTTGGGACAGACTGTATATCCACATTTTTTCTAATAACTAACTCGGATTTTATCATAGAGTATCGTGACCACATTGTAGGAGATTTCCATTTATTTTCATTTTCCATTATATTAAAATAGGCCAGTAAAACGTCTTCGGTAACTTGCCGTACTCCTCTTGTATCGCACCACTCTTGGAAGTGCTTGTACGCTAACCGATACTTTATTCCGGACTTGGAGGGCCCCAAACGTGCTACTGCATCATTAGCCGCGGAATCAATTTCGTTTAGGTTTTCCATTTTCGCACTAAATTTGCGCTTGCGGTTGCAACAACAATAAACTGTCTTTAATAATTGCAAAAAAAACTGCCAAACAACTGTAACCAGGGAGACGCAAATCCCACCAACGACTTAATTATTTTAATTTCTAACATCTAGACGACTTTGATAGTTATCACAGTTAATTTCGAGTAAAAATAGCGTATGAATTGTACTATTTATGGTTGAAAATTGCTACGTTTGAAGAAAAAATAGTATACTTTATTCTTCAAAGAAGCGACTTTTCTTGACGCGCCCGATATTACGCGCCGAACGAAGTGAGCTCATTCTTCTCCGCCTCATAAAGTAATATACCATTATTTAACAGCCCTATGGGATCAGAATTCTCTTGAAGTATAGATGTCAACTTTTTTAGTCCCGTGTTCCCGAATTCGATGTTTATAACAAGTTAATAACCCTAGTTTTTAGAGCCAAAACCAAATTTGTTTTCATCTTAGATGGATGTTGAGAATAAAAGTTTATGAAACGGTTACTAAAACAAGGTTTACGATACCATTCCGTCCTTAGCATGCCATCATTGCCACGATGGATTAGCATATCCAAAAAAGGAATCATATTATCAGCCTCTCTCTCAACCGTAAACTTGAGGTGTTCACATTGGGCGTTAAAAGTGTTTAAAACATCAGTTACCTTGTTTTCAGGGACCGATAAAATTAAATCATCTACATAACGTTTAATAAAAGGTATGTGAAAAGGTATCTTTTCTTTACACGTTGTTATAAGTTCATTCAAAACAAAGTTACATAGTATGGGGTGTATTTTGCTGCCCATTGGAGTGCCAAAAATTTGTTTAAAAAAATTACCATTGAACACAAAGATGTTGGAGTCAAATATAAATGTTAACATTCTAGTTAAAAATGTTAAGAAGTATTTACTCTTACTCGACACCAGCCTTTATCATTAAGTTTTTTCGTAATCCTTAATATCTGAGAATCACTCCATTTTTAAACTTAATGGCTATCAAAACTTTTGATTGGAATGTCGTAGCGAATGACATACAACAGTTTGTCAATTTTTATCGAGGATTTCTTTCCATAAGAAATGAGCTTTTAGTAAAGTAATCATTATTATGATTATTTTTTGGAATATTTAGTGTATTAAAATGATTATAAGTTTCCGCCACTTTTATTAACATTATAATTTTAATAATC